ATAGCTAAATGGATCCCTCTAAAGCTATTTTTTAAGTGAAGTAAATTGGACACACATGTGAATATGGCATTCTCTCTGGTGTAAGAAACTGGAAGTGAAAATAGGGACCAAAATGTATAATAGACAATGTGAAATAAGGAAAAATGTTCAAAAGGAAGAAGACATGAAGGAGAAAGAAAAAAAGAGAAAAGAAGGAAAAAATGGAAACAAGGCTTTTGTAAATTAGGAGAGGAAGAGGGGCTGAAGGGAGGGGAGCAGAATGGGAAAAAAAAAAGAGGACTCAAGATACATCATGTACAGGTACAGATTCCCTATGATGAATGTGATCATTGTGTATATCTAAATTGTACCAATAAAATTAAAATGAAAGAAAAAAAAGAATAAAATGGCAACATACCTACACTATTAGTAGAACTGCACCACATAAGCAGGAAGCCGGTACACACCAAGTTTATTACACCAAAGAGCAGTATCTTCCAGGACTAGGAAAAAGAAAATCAATGTTATCTGTACAATGCTAATCAATTTCACTGGGTCCATTCAAGTTGCTGTAATTCATACTCTAATGTTTAAAACAATAAGCAAAATTTCCTTCAAAACACTGGCCAGGTGGGGTGAACGAACACCTGTTGCATCAGCACTCTGGAGCCTGAGGCAGGAAGATCACTATAAGTTCAAGGCCAGCCTGGGGTACATAGTAAGACCCTGTCTCATAAAAAAAAAGAAATCTACATCTGCCAAAATTAATAAAACCAAGTTATTATTATAAGATACAAATCCAAAAGAATAATTCAGAAGGGGAATTTTTAAGAGAAAATAAATGCTGACACAGAAACTCCCAAGTAAGAGAAAAACATGCATATATATGTCATTTTTTCTCCATAAATCTGTATGTAGACACAGTGATAAAGCAAATGGGGCAAAATGTAAGCAACTGGTAAATCTGAATAAAGGGCTCACTGGCATTCCTTTTCCTAATCTTGTAACTTTTCTATAATTTTGAACTTACATGAAAATAGTTATCCAAAAAAAGGCAGTACCTGATTATTTACCAAGAAAGTCATATGAAATAGATCTGCAAAAGGGAAAAATTTTGTCCACAAAAGAGCTGGGCGTGGTGGAGCACACTTGTAATCCCAGCACTTAGGAGGCTGAGGCAGGAGGATCGCAGCAAGTTTAAGGCAGCCTGGGCTACATGGCCCAAATCCAAGGCTAGCCTGGGCTACACAGTGAGACCTTGTCTCAAAACAACAACAACGAGAAAAAAACAAAAAAATCCAAAAAACACATAAACACACACACACACACACACACACACACACACACACAGAGAGAGACACGAGGGAGAATCTGAGCTAAGCCTTGAATATAGGATTTAGTCAGAGGAAGGAAGAAGGGTATTCCAAAATAATGAAAGAAAATAACAGAAATCTGCATGGGGCAAAGATGCTGGGGGTGCAGATATCTGGGAGAGAAACTAGGGACCACAGTGCAAATGCCCTGGGGCAGGAGAGAACTTGCATGAAGACAGGTAGATCCAAGTGGATAAGGAGTCTGGGGTGACATCATGAAGTGTCTTATATGACAAGAAAAGAGATAGCATTTATTACAAATAAGATGGCCAGGTGTGGTGGGACATGTCTGTAATCCCAGCATTGGGAGGCTAAGGCAGAAGGATCATTACGAGTTCTAGGCCAGCCTGGGCTACATAGTAAGTTCAAGGCCAGTCTGAACTACACAGCAAGACCCTGTCTCAAAAACAAAAACAACAACAACAATGAACCAAATCAGATGGAAAGCTTGTATTTTAAAAAGATCATTCTGGCTTTTTTATAAAGAACAGGGGCATAGAAAGGTAGGGAAACCATTAAGAATGCAGCTGTAATAATCCAGGTGAGAAATGATGGTGCTTTGATGGTAGCTTTGAAGGTGATAAGAAGGTGTTAGAAGAGTCAGATTCTGGCTATTATACTGAATACGAAGCTAGCATATTTGCTTATAAAATATATCTGAGGAATGAGGGAAGAAAAGGAGATAAAAATGACCCCAAGTTTTCTACCCTAAACATATGGAAGAAGAGTGGCCAGCTAGTGAGGAAGTGACTACAGATCAAAGTTCAGATCTGACCATATATTTGAGGTAACTATTAGATATCCAGGAGGAAATTCTGAAAAGGCCATTATACATAGGAGTCAGATGTGAGAGAGAGGTCAGGGTTTAAGAAATATGTGGGGTGGGCCGGGGATTTAGCTCAGTGGTTTCGTATTCCCAGATGTCAATAAACAGGAAAAAGAGAGGTTAGAGCTCTAAAGCTCTGGGATATTCCAAAATTTAGAGACCAGAAAGATCAGAAAAAGATCAAAAAAGTGATAGAGTAGACTGAAAACTAATGTACAAGTAAATGGGCAGAAAACAAAGAGTGAGGGTTAAGGATTTCCTAGGGAAGTATGATGGAGGGAAAGGGGACAGAAAGGAGTTGAGGGCATAGAAAATGATAACGATGAACCAAAGAATAACTTGGATAAAGAAACAAATAAGGACACGGGAGGAGGAAAATAGTGAAAATTTGGCAGTCGATGCACTGAAGGTCATAGTAAAACTGCAGAATGATTCATGTTGGGGTAACAGAAGGAGTGTTTTAGAGAGCCAAGTGCTGGTTACTGGTGAGTTAAATGGAGACAGCAAGAAAATACAGTTCTTATGACTGACAAGATCCATGGTGTGACCACAGGAGGGGTAGCTGGGAGTGACAAAGGACAAGGTAATTCATGATGAAGTAAGGAACTGAGAGGTATGGATTATGAATTATGAGCAGTGAAGAAGTGAGCCATGGATATCTCTTAAGATTTAAATTATGACAGGGAATATCTTTACTATTCAGATGTTCTGATATAGCCATCCCTCTTGTCTATAGGGGATATGTTTCAAGGTCTCCCAGTGGATGCCTGAAACCACAGATAGAACTCTCTGCAAGGAGGACCCTATCTTTTCCTGTACATATATATCTATAATAAGGCTAAATTTAAAATAAGTAACACAGTAGGAGATTAAAAATAAAAATAAATAGAACAATTATAATAATATAATAGAAGCTATATGAAATAATCTATCATTCAAAACTTCTTCCTGTACCGTGTATATTAACAACCTCAGCATACACTTTTCTTCTTTATTAAACTGAGAACTAGCACCTTCCACTTGGCATATTTAAATTGCCAGCATCACTGCTCTTTCCCTTTAGGGCCATTATTAAGCAAAGTAAGAGTTATTTAAAAATAAGCACAGAGTTACCGATGCTGGAACTAGCTGATGTGATAACCAGGATGGGTACTAAGTGACTAACAGGTGGCTAGTGCACACTGGACAAAGAGATGGCTCATGTCTCAGGCTGGACAGAGCAGGAGAGTGAGAAATTCCATCATGCTTCTCAGAATGGTGCACAATTTACACCTTATGAATTGTTTATTTCTGGAATATCCCATTTAGTAGTTCTGAACTTCGGGTAACTGAATTCATGGAAAGAGAAACAGCAGATAATGGGGGATTACTATATTGCTTTTGTTCCTACTACCTGCTCTATGGTATACTGTGCTTCAAGAAAGCCCATAGTTAAAGACTCTCCCCTTTATTTATACAAGATAATTGCTCTCCATCAATAGCACAGAGCTGTATATATCTGTTCTAAGAGGTCATGCTAAGTGGATTAGATATCTAAGATAGATATCTAAGAAAAAGATGAATTTTCTAACTTTGGCTCTTTAATATTAAGGGCATGATATTTCCAAATACTAGACTTACTGAGTTCTGATTATATTCCCAAGTTTTAGAAACCAGAGATATAATACAAATAACAAAGAAAAGAAGTTTTCAGTCTAGTTCACAATGCAAAGCTAACGTCACTGATACTACTTACTATATTCCATCAAAACTGCCTTCTCGTAAAAGCCATTAAATATATATTGGGTGCATATTTTTCATGCCTATAAAAAAGTAAGCAACGGGCTGGGGATTTAGCTTAGTGATGCCGCTGTCTGCCTCGAAAGCGCAAGGTCCAGAGTTTGATCCTCAGTACCAAAAAATGAATAAAAATAAAATTAAAAAGTAAGCAAAATAGGCCATAGTCATTGCCCTCACCGAGCTTGTAATTCAGACAATACTAGAAGAATGAAAACAGCACAATAATTAGGACCTCTATATAGGTGGCCAAAAAGGATAACAACCCCACCTTTTTATTTACAGTATCAAAGCATAATACAGTTTTCCTGCTTTATGCTAAAAATGAGAAAATATGCCCAGGATTTAGCTCAGTGGTGCTGTGCCTGCCTCGAAAGGTTAAGGTCCTGAGCTTGATCCCCGTACTGGGGGAAGGGGGTGGGGAATAGAAAACATGCCTTAAGATTACATTTGTTTAATTTTTTTAAAATCTCACAAGCACAAGGTCCTGAGTTCAACCCCTGGTACCAAAAAATTAATTAATAGCAATGGAGCCAGGAGTGATGGTGCACACCTATAATCCCAGTGCTCAGGAGGCTGAGGCAGGAGGTTTGCTGCAAATCTGAGGCCAGCCTGGGCTACATAGTGAGTTCAAGGCCCAGCCTGAACTACATAATGAAATTCTATCTAAAAATAATAATGATAATAATAAAAATAAAAATAACAAAAGCTACTATAGGGGCAACGCATTTTCCGGTTCCCCCTCGGTCTCTTTTAGACAGAAACTATCTTTCTCTCAATAAATTTTTCCTACTCTTAAAAAAAAAAAAAAAGCTACTATAAGAAAAACATTTTCTTTAAAACACTTTAGAATTACAATAAAAACTTAACTGACTTTGTTTCTTCCCAGTAAAGCTAAACAAATGACCATCAAACAACAGTAATTTTCTTTTCTTTTTTCTTTTTTTTTTTGTATGGGGGATCAAACTTGGGTCCTTACGCTTGCGCAGCAGGTGGCAAAACCACTGAGCTAAATCTCCGGTCCACAACAGTAATTTTATATCAAAAAAAACCAGGGCTGTGGCTTGCTGCTGCTGCCGCTTGTGCTTTTGCTTCGATGCTTTGCTGCCTTCTGCCTGCCCTGCTTTGCCATGAACAGTTTCTCCTCTGAGATGCCCCTCTGTCATGTGCCTGCCTTGAGACCAGCTAACTAGAGACTGAAACCTCTACAAACTATGAGCCAAAACAAACCTTTCCTCCTTAAAAAAAAACAAAACAAAACTTACCAAACATGGAAAGATAAAAACTGTGGTGGGATCAACAGCAATTTCTTTCTTTCTTTCTTTCTTTCTTTCTTTCTTTCTTTCTTTCTTTCTTTCTTTCTTTCTTTCTTTCCTTTCTTTCTTTCTTTCCTTCTTTCCTTCTTTCTTTCTTTTTTTTTTAACGATGCCAAAAAGTTTATTTGAAAAGTTCAGGGTAAATGGGTAGGGGAAAAACCAGCCCTGCAGAGTGAACTTGCACCAAACAAAGAGAAAAAGAGGGTAAATGAAAAAATAAAATTGCACATTGTATCTGAGAAACGTGGCGTGGGCTACTGTGGAAACTCTCACATGATAGCCAACAGCAATTTCTACTACCTTTCGTCAATGTTATAATGTTGTTTGTACAATAATTTAAATTGAGTTTAAGAAATAACTTACCCTTCGGTCAGCTGCTACAAGTCTAAATTCCTGTAGTAACTTGCCAAAATAGGATCTCTGTGGTTTTCGAAAGAGATGAATTGTCCCCTTTAAAACAAACAGAAAATATACAAATCAGCATTTAGGTATGTAATCTTCTTCACAGTTCCCGTGATGTTATAGTACTAATACTGATTATCCCAATATCCATTAATATATGCCAACTACTTTTCTAGACACTGTATATGTATCGATAAATAATACAATAACCCTATGGGGTAAAAACAATCTTTAACAACTTTTCCAAAGCCACAAAACTAGTAAATAGTTGAGCTGGAATTCAAATACAGATATTTTGTTCCTGGTTCTTCTCTTTATTTTTAAATGGATTAAGCAACTTAAATCAGAGAAGAAATAGGGAAAAAGATAAGGAAAGTTTGCCAAAGAACTCTACTCAAAAGAAAATGTAACAAGGCTGGGGATTTAGCTCAGTTGTTCCACCACCTGCCTCAAAAGTACAAGGTCCTGAATTTGATACCCAGTACCAAAAAAAAAAAGGAAAAAGAAAATGTAACATTTACCTAATTAAAACTAAATATATGAAAGTTCTTTCTGGCAACTATGACAGTAAAACCCCTGAGGTTCTCATTTAGGCATTCAGACAGTGTCTGACACCCTAGGAGTCTGTATTAGTTTATAGTGCAGGGCTAGCCCTGAGAGGGCCTAGCAATAAGGTTACCAATGGCAGAGGAGATCAAGTAGCAACCAGAGTGGATTTACCACCCAAGTTTAGGAGACCTTGTGGAGAAGCCTTACAAGGATCAAACATATCTGAGAAATTAATTTATGATAAAGGTAGTATTTAATAGGAGTGGGACAAAATATGAGCTGTTCAATAAATAGCATTTTGATAAAGGGAATGTTTCATCCTTGTTTTTTGTTTTTTTTTTCCTCTGGTACCAGGGATCAAACTTGGGACCTTGTGCTTGCGAGGTAGGCAGTGGGACCACTGAGCTAAACCCCTGGCCCCTTAATTCTGTTGTTTTAAAAACAAAAATATAAAACTTCATTTGAAGGTAGTATGGATATATAATTTTATAATCCTGGAGTTGGGGATGTAGTGCAGAGACACAAACTTTTATATGTTTGTGAAGAAGGCCAAAGAGGGTATTGTGTGTATATTATACTTAACTGAATTTACTGGTAATAATGGAAATAATGCCAGAGAACTATGATTACAAACTGCTTCAGTTGTGCTTGCTTCGGCAACAGATATACTAACTGCTTCAGTTATCATCAAAAATATTGGGGGCTGGGGATTTAGCTCAGTGGTTCTGTTGCCTGCTGTGCAAGCACAAGGACACAAGTTTGATCCCTGGTACCAAAAAAAAAAATACTTAAACTTTTATATGCTGAAAACAGGTTGGCTCTTTTCTTTTTTTTTTTTTTTTTGGCATAGACTTCCAAAAGCAAAACTCTACAGCTACTTCTTTTTTTATTTTTGGTTTTGCCTCACTATGTAGTTCAGGCTGGCCTTGAACTCTTGGTGATCCTCCTGTCTCAACCTCCCAAGTGCTGGGATTACAGGTGTGCACCACCACACCTGGCTTACAGCTACTTTTAATGAGATAATTTTGTTACACCAAAAGCATTGTTTCTAGGAGAAAAGTTCCTTCACAGTTGTCAGTGGGTCATACATAGTAATTTGGTGCCACATATTTAAATACAGTGGACCCTTGACTTATAAACTCAATTGGTTCCCTAGGGCTGGTTGTAACTCAAGTTGGTTGTAAGTCAATAGTACTGAGATCTGGAAGTTTACCTGGTACATGGTATAGATAACAAGAAGCACATGAATCTTCCATTAACCTAATTAACCCAAGTTGTTTGTATGTCAGGCTGGTTGTAACTTGAGTGTCTATTGTATTTGATTTTACAAATTTTTTTTTTGTACTGAGGATCGAACTCAGGACCATGGGCTTGTGAGGCAGGCAGTGGCACCACTGAGCTAAATCCCTAGCGCACAAAATATTTTCTTTGATAGTAAAGGCCACAACCAAACTGCATTTCTAATTCACTTAACTTGGGGAATTTGACTCAAAACTGAAGTCCCATAAAAGCACTGGAACCAGGTATTATAACTGTGAAAACTTTCAGATTCAATTCAAGCAGAGGCACGATTTTCCTACATAATTCGAGAAGGTTTTAGTAGTTATAAAAAGGTATATCCCATTATATCAAAGCTTAGACAGGTCATTAGTTGAATTAAGTTGAAACCCTGGAAAGCAGAAAAAGGGACAAGCACTAGAAATGACATATGAAAAACAGTACCAGAATGGCAGTAATTCTTAATGCCAAGTGAGGTGTACACAGGAGCTCTCTGTATTAGTCTCTCTCCTTCTATACGTATACTCTTGAAATTCGTCATAATAAAAACACAGTAAAACACTAAAGTAAAAAACTTTTAAAAAGATAAACCAGAAAAGTGTTATTAATTTTGAAATCCAAGTAAAGTCCAGCGTTTGTGTAAACCTAAGGCCCTGATAAGCTAATCCAATATAAAAGGAATAATATGCTATTTTCATTTGAGGTGTTAATAAATTCTTAAAGAATTACGTGTTAAATATTTTGATTCCAAGCATAAAAAATGCTGCTTAATAACTGTGATCCTTTGATAATTTCTGTTTAACTTCAGGCCACTTGTAAGTTAAGTTTCAAGATTAAGATAATCAAGAAGAATACTGGGAGAAAAAGACTCACACACAAAAAATTAAGGACTTGTAAGGGTTATACTGATAAGGACAGGGAGTAGGGGATGATGAACAATGCAAGCAAATGGAATAGCATATGTAAAAAGGCCCAGTCATACAGCATGTTTTGCAACTATTCATTGTGGCTTGAAATCGGATGCATGGCGCGCGCGCGTGTGTGTGTGTGTGTGTGTGTGTGTGCGTGTGTGTGAAGGAGGGTGTAAAGGCAGGATGCTAGAGTATGGACGGCTTTGTATATCATGCTAAACAGTGATATCTCGAGGACTACAGAAAACAAACTGAAAAACTTTAAGCAAGGGAAAAACAAGGTCAAATTTTAGAAATACAGTGGATGCTACACACTGGTGAACACTTCGAAGAAAAGAATAGCTGGAGGCTGTGCTAACTCTAAACCCACAAAAGTAAAGTTTTACCCACTTTTTTTGTCTGCAAAAGATTATAGAAAATTTACAAAATTCGACCATATTCACATAAGGAAGAAACTTTTACAGTGACTACTAACACACAGAAATGTAGTCCCTTTCTCAGCTACCAAAAGTACTCAATGAATTCTTCTGATAATTTCAAGAAGCACGCAGGACGTTTACATGTGAAATAATCACCTCTCAATACCAGAGAGAATTGAAAAATGTATAGACCTGCTTTCTAAAGGCCTAAAATGACTAATTCCTCTAATAAACTTTAGAGGGCACATATCCCAGAAACCATAACGGATCCTGGAATTATTCAGTAGTTTCTGCAAACACAGCAGCAATAATATGATGCTCTACCCACACCATAACTGTGTAGTCAGTAACTGGTCCTTACGGAAGCTGCTGCCTTATCAAGTTAACTGCCTGTCAATAAACCCAAGTAGCGGAGTGGGTCGTCCGCCTTAAAACCTGACTCCTAGCTTTGTTTCCGCCGTCGCTGTTCTCAGCATCCCCCGAATGCTGGAGATTTAGTTGCTGTGGACTTGTTTTCAGGTCTTTTGATAGTGGTGTAATCACGGATGCAGTCAAAGACTTTTATTTTGACATCAAGGAAATCTCGGTAAGGGGAAGTCATAAACTCCTCAGGGGCAGAAAACTCGGCTGGGGAGGGATAGGGATCCCGAAAAGCAAAGGAATGGGGTGAGGGACAGAAAGGGGATCTGAGTGAGCTCTGAGGGAACCATCTGGGAAACAGTTCTCCGGGGGGGCCCGACTGCAACCCCGATGAGCCCTTCTCTGGGCCGCGGAGGCGGTTCGAGACTAGAGAAAAGGAATCAGCAGGACAGGAACCCTCATGCCCCCAACACCCAACTCACCATGATAAGGAGCCACAGCTCCCGCCGGAAGACGCTCTGGGGCTCGATTTTTACCCCGGTGCGGAAGGGGCGGGGAATCAGGGGCCCATTGGCTGGGAGGGCCGCGGGGGCGGAAGTGCGTGTCCGGCCTGGGCCCCGCCCCTTCCCCGACATCCCCCACTTCCGGCGGAGGTGTGGGAGGCGGCCCTGGCGATTGCTGTGAGATCTCGGTGCCGCCGTTCCTGACTCGAGCCTCTGAGGCCAGTGATAAGGAGCAATTAGGGTTCATTTTAACGTTGGGAAAATTGTGCTGACTGCTGAAACGCTCTTACCTATGTTGTGTGGATTGAATCTGACGAAATGGATAGTATTCCCGTTTTACAAGTGAGGAAACATGAAGGTTAAACTTGCCTGGAGTCTTGACTCGTTTGCTCTAATGGCTTAAGTGGAATTTGGAATGCCTAATTACAGAGTATGGTGGTCTACTCCCTACAACAATGTTTAAAGTCTCTACAACGTTAACTTTATTATAAAAGTAATGTTAATTAGAAAAACTTAGAAAACAAATACTTCATAAAGAATGTGGAGCATGTGTGTATCAAGTACTGGTCTCATAAAAACTATATTCTAGGAAGAAGAAATGATACAACAGGGACAAAAATTTTAAGTTATTTACAAGTAGAGTGAGGTAGAAAATAAAACAGTACTTGCCAGGGGTGATGGTGCACGCCTGTAATCCAGGCACTTAGGAGGCTGAAGCAGGAGGATCGCTGCGAGTTCGAGGTCAGCCTGGCCTCTGCAATGCTTTCAAGGCCAGCCTAAACTACATAGTGAAACCCTGTCTCAAAATGCAAACAAACACAATAGCAGCAGCAACAACAAAACCCCCAAAGAAATAAAAAAATAGGACTGTGCTATAGAGATTAATTGGGTAGTGTTGGTCAGAGAAAGCTTCTATAAGGGGATGAAATTTAATTTCAGAATGGCAAAAAACTGAAGATTTTTTTTCCAGGCAGAATAAACTTTGCAAATACTGTATGCTAAATCAAAAAAGAGCAGGCTCATTTTAACACCTGAAAGGAGGCTAAATATGCTATCCGGTGGGTAAGAAGTGGTAGCATGAGGGGCCCATTGGCTGCAAAAAATACTAAAACAGGGCCGGGGATTTAGCTCAGTGGTTTCGCCACCTGCTGTGCAAGAGCAAGGACCCGAGTTCGATCCCTGGTAACAACAACAGCAAAAATACTAAAATACAAATTTTGGAGTATAGTTTCCTCTGACTGTGTAATGTTCTCACACCATTGAAAAGTGGAAAAAATTTAAGTAATGGGAAGTTGGGAATCAATTTTGTTTATTGAGACAGTGATTTTATAGTTCAGGCTGGCCTCAAGCCCCGTGGCAATCCTGCCTCAGCCTCTTGAATGCTGGGATTGCAGGCATGTGCCACCACACCAGGTATAGGAATAATTTTTAAAAGCAATATCCCATGGGAAACAGAAACATAAACTCATTGAGACTCCCTCCAGTCAAAGCAAGGCCTAAGACTTAATGATTGAAATCTCACCAGATTGAGGATTATTGAAAAAATTAAGTCTCTCCTCCATATTCCTCATTTCAGGCTGCCCACCATGTGACGAACATCTTCACTTTCTCCCAGACACCCACACTGAGCTCCTTATAGACAATCTCACAACACTTGGTCTCTGACGCCACATTTTGGGTCACTGGAAGTCTCATACCCACTAATCTTTGACCTGAAGCCTTGCAGAAAAAGTTAAAATATAGGCCTGGGACTGATAACCGTGGAAGTACTGCTTGCAACGTTGGTTCTTGACTGGTAAATGAGAACTTGGATTTGGAGGAGGGTTTCCCCTGTTCTCTAACAAATAGAGTGGCTCACGCTGTTTGTCAGGCTTAGTACTTTCACATATACTGTCACTTGTTGCTGGAGGAATAAAATGCGTACTGTGACTAATGGGTGAGGACTCACAGATGTTGGTGCTTGATTTTGTCTGAATCTGCTCAATTCTCTTCTTGGTCTTTGCTAATTTTGCTTTACATCTTTCTGTCGTAGTAATCTATTGTCTAATAATTATACGCTGAGTCTTGTGAGTGCTCCTAGTCAATCATCAAACCTGCCACGGTCTTGAGGCTTCAACACCTAATGACTTGGTAGTTCAGTAAGGGGACAGGTGAGAGGACAATTCATTTAAATTCAACCTGTTAACACTGCTGTATTTCAGCTCTACCATCCACTGTATGTTTGTCTCATTTTATTCTTTCTTAATTCCATTTAAATCAATCATATCTTAGTAATCCATTTTATCCTCTTATGGCTTTTTAGCTCTACTGAACCTTTTAGTGAGATTAGAGCATGCACCTTCAATTTATCAGTCTGCCTTAAATAATATACTACATTTTGTACAAAATAACCTTTAACAAATATAATTCCATTTATTGCCCCCTCCAGCTTTGCAGTTTTGTCCTGTATTTTAGTTCTACAAATATAAATAACATCATACTGTAATTTCTTTTGCTTTAAATAGCTGATATTTAGAAAATTTAACCTATTTATCATTTCCAAAGCTTTAAGTTCCTTCTTGGAAAGATAGATTCCCATTAAGGATAATTTTCCTTTGGCATGAAGGTTTTTTTCTTTTGTTTTTTGAGACAGGGTCTCACTGTGTATTTTAGGCTGGACTTGAACTCCCAGTGGTCCTTGTGCCTTAGCCTCCCCAGTGCTGGGATTACAGGCTTGCCTGGTGCTGCCATACCAGGCTTTAGCCTTTAGCCATTTTTTCTGTCACCCAGCAAGAAATTTTCTTTCACCTGAAAAAGCTTTTTATTTGCTTTAACATTTGAATGGTATCTTCACTAGATATGAAATTTATATTTTATTGTTCAATCTTTTCACCTTTCTACTCCATTTTCTGAATTCCTCCATTTCTAATTAGGTTATATAATATTATTCCACCATGACCTGCCCTCAGGATACTTTTGTTTTGGTTTGGTTTTTTTTTCGGTGGGGAGGCTCGACAATGCTATGTCCAAATGTGGTCTTCACTCTATTTTTATTCAGCTTGGGGTTCACTGAAGTACTTGAATCTGTTGATTTTCAACAACTGTGGGGAAATTTCAAACATTATTGCTATAATTATTTCTCATCGCATAATCTACCTTTACTCTCCTGAGTCTCAAATTACAGATACATTAGACAAATAGTGTTCCACAAGTCTTAAACCTTTATATTTTTCTTTCTCTCTGAGCTGTGGCCTGATAAATTTATTGGCTTGTCTTCCAATTCAGTCTTTGTTCTACCTTACTGTTGGGCCTAAAAAAATAAAATATCTTTTATTTTGGATAACTATTTTTCAGTTCATATTTTTACTTTTTTTTTTGGTACTGGGGATCAAACTCAGAACCTTATGCTTGCAAGGCAGGTGGCGGAACCACTGAACTAAATCCCTGGCCCTATATTTGTACTTTTTATTACAAGACTTCCTGCTGAACTTTCACAATTTCTGTTTCTCTGTGGAACATCTCAATCTGTTCATCCATTGTCAGTTTTCCAGTAAATTTTTTTTTCTTCCCAGTACTGGGAATTGAACTCATGACCTTGCTTCCAAGGTAGGGACAGTGCCACTGAGCTAAATCCCTAGCCCCTCCAGTAAATTCTTCAGCACATTTAAAAATCATCCTTTGTTCATCCCAATACATCATCTGCTATAGATTTTCTTGGGTTTTGTTTGTTTTGAGGTAGGGAAGGTCTCAGCTGATGAGGTCCAGGCTGACCTCAAACTCATGTGCTCAAGTGGCCCACCCATCTCATCCTCTCAAGTCTGTATGTGCACACCACTGTGCCTGGGTTATATATATTCTATTGATTATGGATCACATAACTTTTCTCTGTATGCTTAGTATCATTTATTGTATACTGGACTTTGGGATATACTCTGAAGTTTCTGGATTGTATTTTCTTCTAAGGAATATTGTGCTTTGTTCTGGCTTTATGAGGGAATGTTTCATGGAAAATAGCTGAAAGTATAAAGCCAATGAAACTCATTTTATAACAGATAACCCTGGTGCTGTAAAGCTTTAAGCTTGGTTACAGTGAGTTTCTTTCCATTTTGCCCTTGGTCCTAAAGCACACCCCTTAGTGCTAGAATGTTGTCATTACTTCTAAAGCATGGCCCTTTTTGGGTTTCAGTGATAAACACACAAAAAAGTGTTTACTCATCCTGTCTTAGTGGAACTTGAATTTCAAAATTCAATCTCCTGGAGTGAGACTTCAGTTTTCTGGTGGGTTCCTCTGAATATCTAACTGCACAGGTACAATTTTGGAATCCACAAAGAATTTGAAAGGAATTTGTAGGCAGATTTTCGGGCTTACTTCTCTGAGGCCTTTCTAAGATTTCTAATTTCCAGCTGTTCTAGAAGCCCCACTGGATTCCTCAGCCAGCAAGACTGCCACATTTGGCTTGAATTCTACTCCCAAATGAACTGTACAAGTTGGCTATCATTCCACAGGAAAAGCTAGTTAATGTGGATCTCTTATAGTGTAGGATTTTGTGCAGTTTCTGCCTGGATTTAGTTACTCTCTACAGCTTTCTAGTCATTACTTTTTATATTTTGTTCAGAGTTTATAACTTATTGACAAGAATTACAAAAAATTTCATTATCAGACTGAAACCTCTGAAATATCAAAATGTTTTAAATTAAAAAATTAAAGACAAAATAAAGTTTATAATTTATTTACAATCCATTTAGGATAAAAACCTACTTTATGCAGCTGTACCCTTTAATTCATTTCTTCTGAAGAGAAGTACAAAAGATCAGACTAAAACTGAGACAAGCATTTAAAGAAAAATCCTTTAAGAGTCCCAAAACAAACTGTAAATGGTTCGTTTTACCAAAAGAATTAGTTTTTGTACAAAATATAAAGAATTTTACACTATAAACAAAGACTGTTGTACACGTATTTAAATTAGAATTCTATCTGATTTTGCTCCAATTCTTCTTGAGCACAAAGCATACAGTATTTGCAAGTCAGAAAGCTAATAATTTCAATGGGCAGACTGTCTCAGAATAAACTTGTATCTCTAATATATTTAGAAAGATAGTATTCATTCCTTCGTTTTGCTCAAAGCCCAGTACACCAGTAAATTTTAATTTAGTTTACAAAATTCTGCCATATTAACATGAAGAACACACTGATGCTTAAAATTTAAGCATTATCTTTTAGGAAATAATATAACACAGGGCTTAACACAGTATCTAAATGGTTACAGTCTAATAATTAATTCAGAAAACCTTAGCAACTTCTGTCCAAAATGACCAATACCTCCTACTAGGTCATTATTCTATTTTCTTCTAGTATGTCATTATTCTATTTTCATGGCCTTTCTATGAAAGAAACACAACTTAAAATAAAACCTGGTTAGAGTAAGTCATAGAAAATAGTTCTCAACAACAGGTGAACTTCAAACTTGATCAGCAAAAAAACTTCTCTGCATGGATGGATATTCATATAGCAATATAATTTTGGCTTATTTATGATGTTAAATTGACTTTTGTAATTTTTTAGCATTTGAAAACTTTATTATCTAAAAACCTTCCCAAGAGATTATGAGCCTGTATTTTAAAAATTCATTTGAAATTAGTCCTGTACTGATTTGTAGTTACCTAAATATTGGTATTTTAATCCCTAAGTGAAAACAAAATGAAATTTTATGAATTTTACTGAAAGTTTTTATTTCCCCAGTTCTCCTAATCATATATATACTTCATCATCACCTTGTATTATCAGTATTTTATAACTGATGTTTTAACACTTGAGAACTTAAAAAGACCCATGACCTAAAATATGCATAGCTCTTGCTTTAAATTTTTTTTTCCGGTTATCTCAGTTCTCATTTGTATCATCTAAGGAGTTAAAGGTTTTTAATTAAGGAGGTATGATTTAAGTTATGGCTACAAATAGCATATGATACTATAAGAATTCACATGTCTTCTATATTTAGATTAATTTTTTAACAAGAACATAAGTACAATCAAGGAGAATTATGTCTTCATTGTAAAATTCTTATCTAGTATGGGCAATTGTACATTTTTTAAAATTTATTTTTATTTTTTCGGTACTGGGATCAAACTCAGGACCTTGCACTTGTGAGGCAGACGCAGCACCACTGAGCTAAATCCCTGGCCCTTGGGCAACTGTACTTTAATATGTTCTCTCAAAACATCTTTCCTAAATGAAGTCTCTGTTACTACTACAAAATTATTCTTTCCACTCATGACATTTTACATAGCATCATTAAAGCACCAAAGAAAATTCTGTAAACAAACTTTTAACCAGTAAACTAAGGGCAAATATCCATTTGCCTTTATTACAATATTTTAAAGGCCATGATATGCATCTCTACTTCCTACAATGAACATTTTTATAATAAAAATTCAAGCATATTTATACAAACAAGAAACAATTGCTGTACATTTTGGAGAAACTAGACATACAGACTATAACTTTTAGTAAAGTGAGCACAAGAAACCTATAAAATGTATGCAATGTATATAAAAATTCAGTGTTTTAGTTTCATTGAAGGGATTCATAATTATTAAGAATAAAAGATGGTAGTTCCATTGGCTTATAATTATCCTGTAAACAGTAAGAAAGTGATAAACAATGAATTAGAAATTTCTTATCTCCCAGTATCTCCTTCTTCTTGTACTGGAGCTACTATTGTAACAGTTAAAATTGGCTCCTTTGAGTATCAGAATTTTAGCAGAAAATGAATTCCATCTGGAATAAATTAACAGTCTGCAGCAGATTCCTGACATTAGGAAAAAAAATAGTGCAGGTCATAAGAGGACAGATCTACATATTATATGACGGAGAAACTCAAATCTTCAAACCTTTTCTATTTTACCAGATTTGCTTTGTTGCTATTATATTGCTTTCTAAATTATTTGGCAGCAAGGTAACAGAAAAATAAAAACATAAAACTGTTTAACGTCTGCAGATTTATGAAGAAAAAATCCTCAAAATAGCCTTTTCCTATTGCTGTTAGGAAAAAGTTCGATTTGGCACTCTGGATTTGTAAAAGGAAAAGGAAAAAAGGAAACTTAAAGGTGATTGGTATTCCAATCACAGGCAGTTAAGAAAAACACAGGAAAGGAAAATATGAAAAATCACTATTTTAAGAAAAACATTAGAAGACAGACAACCACAGGCCTTTGTGTCTTCTACCCTTCACTGTCTCTGGAATACTTTCACCTGCAACACAGTATACAAATTACTATTTACACTAGGATTATATTGGTTAAAGAAGACCAGATTTGGTTTTTGTTGTGTTCTAATTTAAGTGCCCATTGAGATACCGTGACCACCAAGCCAAGAAGGCCTTAAACAACAAAACATTCCATTCACATTGTATATTGTTTTCTTGTTCAAGTTTGGTACACAAATAACTATAAGACTCTGAAAAGTCCTGTAAACTTAGGCTAAGTTTCTGTAGCTGATAACTGTTCACTGAAGATCAAATGATTCTCTCTTGTTAAGTAAATGTTCTGCAGGCTTACAAAGGCATTTCTTTAAACAGTGGTATCTCCAAAGTCCTTGTTCCATCGTATGTATGCTTCTAAAGTTTGAGGGCTCACACTGCGTTTTATTTTTTTCAAGGATTCAGTGAAGTCCGATAATCGAATATTTCTCATCTAGATTTTAAAAAAACACATGAGATACAAATGATGAACACATATAGTGATGGATTAAAACAATGGTATAATGTTGTAATATAAAATACTCTTAGTCATGCCAATCATTTTAATATATTTTCTATCCTACTATATATTAGGCAAGTTGGCTACATAAGATACCTTACAAAATAATATAATAGTTACTTTATCACTTGTATTCATCTCCTATGTACTGGCTTTTCTTTTTTTCAGTGCTGGGGACTGAATTCAGGGCTCCACACATGCTCAGCAAATACTCTAGTGCTGAGCTACAGCCCCAGTTCTTTAAAAATTTTGTTTGAATTTTGAGAAAGGGTCTTGCTGAGTGCCCAAGCTGGCCTTGAACTTGTGATCCTTTTGCCTCAGTCTGGGGATATAGCTCAATAATAGAGTATGGTGGGCTAAATCCCTGGGACTTTAAAAAAACAAGTTTATAGGGCCGGGGATTTAGCTCAGTGGTTCCGTTGCCTGCCCTGCAAGCACAAGGACCCAAGTTCAATCCCTGGTCCCCCCCCGCCCAAAAAAAGTTTATAATGCATTTTAATTTGGTTTTATTTTCTGACATTTTAAATTGGTTTTGGAACTGTAGACTGTGTGAATGATGACTTGATGAATATATTTACCTAAATATTATTTATTTATTGGTGCTGGGAAATGAACCCAGGGCCTCACACGTTAAGTACATTCACTGCCACTGAGCTATACCCCAAGAGCATCAGTGGTGAACCTATGGTACGTGTGCTGCACCAGGTTGTTTGTATCATTGAAAGCAATAAAAAGTTTGCCATCACTGTCCTAGACCTAAGTACTTTAAAGACAAAATTTAGTGTGGCACAAAAATGACCTGTGTTAAAAACTGTCACTAGTATATATCTCCATGTATTTGGCCCAAAAATAAGAAATCAGAGAATTTTAGACAAAACTTCAACTAGTATATACTAGCTTCATTTCTGTCCAACACATCCTATTTAAAGTAGATTGATTGTCAAAATGGGAGAGGGATCTGGGGTTATGGCTCAGGAATAGAGCACTTGTCTAGCATGTATGAAGCCCTGGGTTCCATCCCCAGCACCAGGAGAGACAGAGAGAGAGAGTGAAAGCACAAGTGTGTGGGCTTTCTGAATAATGTAGCTGACTAACTACACTGTAAAGAAGCCTCATCGGACAACCACAAGATTACCCAGAAGCTTGAAGACTGTCAAAATATACTTGCATACACTTTCTTTGTTAACCATTCACCATCTCCTCAATAGGTGTTGGAACTTGAGCAATAAATACCTCTAACAGATAAGTTACACATATAGTTCAATTTCAAAAATTTGTTCACATATTTATTATCATCATGCTTATGCAATTTTATTTTTTTCTTCATGTCACATTAGTTTTTAAATTTTTATTAGTACATGTTTTAGTACATAATGATTACATTCATTGTGGGGAGTTGGTATATGTACAGAATACATCTTTACTTTTTTCTTTTTTTAAATTGAGTTTTATATTCTGCATGTAATTTTCCCCTAAAGAAATGCTTCAGCATTTCAGAGGGGACCTTCTATATTAAGAAAATATAATAACATATTATATAATGATTGTATTGGTTTTATAAAGAGAAAAATAAAGATTATTAAAACTAACAAAATAAAACATTAATGAATTGATCTATAATCATAGGTTATTTTTAATAATGTATAGTTTTTTCTAATTTTTGTTTAGTATTTTTATATGATTTGATAAAAAAGGACTTAATTACTATGCATTTTTTTCCATTACCAAAAAACAACAAAAGGGACTAACTGCATAGGATCCATATTTAGAAATGAAGCAAAATTAATTTTTTCTAGTCAAATAAACTAGAAAACTCCAGACAAAAAAAAATTTAAGTCTTATAGAGAGCCAAAACAAAGAAAAGATAATTATAAAATTGTATACCTCACTGGCAGACATATTCTTCACCTGTTCTGGTTTCAGTTCTGTAAAATATAAAAAAGTCATACTTTAAAAAACAAAAGACTGTTAAGTTAAATTGCTTAAAGGGAAAAATCAAATACAACAATAGCTGTTAAATCATATTAAAAGAGAGACACATTAACACTGACAGTAAATACAATTTATAAATGTTTACAACAGAATAGTATTCCTCCTTAGGAGTACACAGGACAAATTCAATTTCTTGCATAATGCCAACAACTGAATTTACAAGTTTGAAAGTCAACTTAAAAGAATGCAACTTGTTCTTCACAAAAGGCATCAGGTTGGTTTTTAACTCAAAGCTGTTGTCTCTTCAGAATAATAAGGGCCGGGGATTTAGCTCAGTGGTTCCTCCTCCTGCCTCACTAGTGCATGGTCCCAAGTTCAATCTCCGGTACCAAAAAAACCCAAACCAATTCTAGAATAATAAAATATTAAAATGTTCTAAAAAATTTTTAAAACATACAAATGATTTGTACATTAGCTACTACTTCTGATCCACTGTCAAAGAAAGCGTGTTTACTCTGTAATCAAAGTTCTATAAATGCGGCCTCTTTCTCTCTGTCCAAGGTTATCTTATTATACTGTACTATTTCAAACCACAGTTGATTGCTGGTAACTGAAACAAAAAAAGCAAAGTCACAGATGAGCACTGTTTTTATATGATGTAGAATATGCTAGTACTATTCTCTACTACTCTAGTATAGTATCACAGTGAATCAAATCTAACCTAACCTAAAAAACTCAGGTGTGATATATCAAAATCACCAGATTATTTGAATCAAAATATAGCAATGAATGATATATTTTGTTGCAATTCCTTGAAAGATGACATAAAGAAAGGGAATGTTTTTTCTTTATATAAGTTACTTTAGATACACTGATTTCAAGTGAAAAAGAGCCAGAAAAAAGACAAGAATATTTTCCCCATTTTTTTTTTTTTTGGTACTGGGGATTGAACTCAGGTCCTTCCACTTGTGAGGCAGGCACCGGAACCACTGAGCTAAATCCCTAGTCCTTCCCCATTATTTTTCTTTTTGCTTGCTGAAAACATTTACTTGGGCTGAAGATGTAGCTCAGTGGTAGAGTACTTGCCTAGCATGCACAAGGCACTGGGTCTGATCCTCAGCACTGCAAAATAAGTACGTAAATTTTCTTTTCTTTTGAGTTTCCAGCTCAGTACCTACTCTTTTTTTTTTTTTTTTTTAGAAAAATGAAAGCTGATTTTTATCATCAACAGCCATTCTTTAAACATGAACATGCATACGTAATATTCTACACACACATCAGTTTTTAATGTTAATAAAGGTTAAACACACATACATCCTTACAAAAAAGGTCAAAATGCAAACTTAAAACTTTAAACAAAAGTCTTACTAATTTAAAAAAAGTTTGTGTTGGGTACCATTTGTACAACACAGTTAATTTAAACATTTTCATTTTGGCTGCACATGAAAAAAGCGGCAGTAGAAAATAAAGTCATTAAGGGATTTTAAATAGCAGAATAGGCAATTGTGCCATGCAGGAGAAGCAATATTAAATATTAGTTTTCAAAAAAAATCCACATTTAAAAATATGTAGTTCAAGTCACAGAAGTTTTCTCAGTAGACCCAATGCAATGCGTAATTAGCTGCCGCAGATGGCCTGGCTGAAAGGACAGGCTCCCCTCAGAGTGGAACTGTACTGACTTTGGCACAGGAAAGAGGGCTTACGAACAAGAGCATGATTAAAAAGAGGGAAGAGGGAAGAGGAAAAGAGTAACAGCAAGGATAAATGAGAGAGTAATTGCAATCACTAAAAACTCTGCATTCTCAGTCACTGCAGAATACTGTCTTCTGTCTAGAGCAGGTGCTTACTCCAGAACTGTTATTTTGTTTGTTTTGTTTTTTTGGTACCAGGGATCGAACTCGGGTCCTTGCGCTTGCAAGGCAAGCGACGGAACCACTGAGCTAAATCCCCGGCCCTCCAGAACTGTTACTGCAGCATGGATTTTATTTGCTTGGAGGTAGTCTCATCATTCAAATGTTTTGTTGTGTACCTTAGAGCATTTAGAAGACCTTCTACACTATTGGGAGGTTGGTCCTTAAGAACTTTGATACAACCTTTCATATCAATTTTGGATGTTTTGGCAAATGCTCCCACTGGATGCATGTGGTCATACAGTATTATGACACCCACCATTACCCTCAAGCAGAATGATACTGTCTCTTCATTTGTAAATCTGCTTCTGTATTCCGGTGTTTCCAGCATGACTCTGCACACACTAGCCATGGTGCTTAAACAGTCAGTGGTATTTTCTATTGGTAAGTTTTTATTCTCTGATACAAACTTTGTGGTAGCGTCACTTAAGGTTTTCAGCATTGGGGTTGCCTCAGCGTAAAACAAAGACATTCAATTTGCCAATTTATTGTTCACTTCATTTTCTCCTTCTGCTGGAACATTATTAATCCTCATTTGACTCAACGTTCTTCTGTAGTAGCTGAAATCATTCCGTATGGCAGGATTTGTCATCTTGAGTTCATCAAAGCGCAGTGTGAAGTGAAGAATTTCTGCAAACTGCTTAGCAAGAGCCTGCTCTCGCTCCAGATGGTGGGTGGGAGAATATGGGGTACTGGTCAAGGCTCCCAGAAGGCTCCTCAATGCAGCTTCTAACCTCTGAGAAAATTCATAAAATTTCTTTAATTTGTCTACTAACGGAACAACTGCACCCCACGCCTTCTCTTGCAACTTCTCATCTGCTGGATGCTGGATTGCCTCTCGTATTTTATGGCCAGCTCCTCTGTATGACTGCAAGTCCTCCAAGATGCCTTCTGCATCTTTCAATACTATATTCACCTGATTATAAATTTCCTTCTCAGACTATGTAGGCTGGGCATTTTCAAAATCAAGGAAAAAATCTGGCCCCTGCTCAAGGTCTGTGCATGTCAAAACTTTAAGAAGATTCCCCATGTTAAGGTACCTTCAGCCAGTGCTGGTGTTTCTGTTCTTGTCCTTCTATCCTTTCCAAAAAGCAGATGAGGAAAATGAATCTCAAAAAAAGAGTTTACTCAGCTGGGTATGGTGGTGTGCGCCTGTAGTCACAGCTACTTAGGAGACCCGGGCAGGGAGATCACAAGTTCAAGGTCAGCCTGTGCAATATGGCGAGGGCCCTGCTCAGCCCCTGGGCTCTCAGCCCCGCTCCTCCGCCCTCCTCGAGCTACGGCGGCGGCGGGTCCTCAGCTACGCTAGGGGGAGCCCTGGGCCTGGAGCGGAGCGGCAGCGGCCGGACCAGGAGCCCTCCGCACCCGCCCCTTGTGGCGGAGCCGCGATGAGGCGGCGGCTCCGAGCGGGGAGGGCAAGTCTCAGTACCTACTCTTGAGAAGTAAAACTCTGTCTAGAACCGGAGTCGTGTTCCAGTGGCTCATGTACTGTTTTCATATAATCTGTGAGCTACAAATGGTTTTACTTTTTTAAAGAGTTTGTTAAAAAAGAAAAGACGATTATGATTATGCAACAGAGACCAAAGTTTGCTAATCCCTAGTCTAGAATCTACTTTGTACTATGTTTTCTACTGATACGGCTTTATTACTTTCATACTGAAAATAAAAAGGATCTCTCAGTGGAGACTTTTCTAACTTCTAATGTGGTGTGGAAACAGTTCTATTGTTTTAAGTTCTTGTATACATACCTCGGATAGGTCCCAGTGCTGCATCTTTTGCCAAAGCTGTTAGATCACTTCCTGAGTATCCATCAGTCATTCTGGAAAGTGAAGGGAAGAAACAGCAAACTATTTTTATTTTTGCATATTAAAACCCTCCACAAAATAAGAGTAGAGTGGACCCAGTCAGGGATTTAGCTCAGTGGGTCTGCCACCTGCCTTGTAAGCACAGGGACCCGAGTTCGATCCCAGGTACCAAAAAAAAAGGACAGTGGATCCTTGGTTTATGAACTCAATTCATTTGCAAGGGCTTGTAACTCAAGTTGGTCCAATGAAGGTTCAAGCTTCTCTACACAGCCTTCAAAGTCTCTCTCCTGTACACAGGCAGCTCTCAGTGTCCTTAGAGAGACAGTGGCCCAGGATTTCTCACTTAATCCCACACAGGAAAGGATGTTGTAATGTTCCTTCCAGAACTCTTTTAAGGATTAAATTTGTATCTGAGACCATCTGGAAGCACAAGCACCAGCATTCTGGTTATAACTTAGGACTGTTTGTAAGTTAAAACTAAAATTCCGGTTGTAACTCAAGTTGGTTGTATGTCTGGCCAGTCATAACTCGAGGGTCCACTGTATAAACAAACTGTTTTGCCTTTGTCAACCAGCTGACAGTTATGTGGTTTGATTCTAAGGGCACAGGCCCATTTAAAAAAAGTGAAACAGTATACTACTTGCTTCCTGTAATGCCTCAAACTCTCAATATTTCAACAATTCTTTTAGGCATATTCTCTAAAAGGTTTCATTAAATTGTAAACATGTCTTCTGAACCATTGGTGACCAACTGAGACATAATCGCAATTACTTCACTGTAAATAGTCTTTTTATCTTGGCAGAAAAACTCTTGAGGGAATCAAGGCCAACCAAGGGAGATTTCTTTAAATGTAGAACAGAAAGAAAGAAGGATATAGTGGTTTGGATTTTTTGTGAACAGGTCTCACTTTGTAGTTCAGGCTGGCTCTAAACTTGGAAATCATGGCGCTCCTCCTGCCCCTTTTCCCAAGTGCTGGGATTTCAGGCATGCGCCACCACGCCCAGCCAGGAAGGGTGTAGGTATAAAATAGAAGGGAAAAAGGCATATTTGAATAGGATGCCACATTAGAGACGGTTGAAGCAACAAGAGATAACCAAAGAAAACTAACAACTAGGGCAGACAAGCAAAAGGTAAGGAGGAAAATAAAACGGGGTGAGCCGGGGATGTAGCTCAGTGGCGCTGCGCCTGCCTGGCAAGTGCAAGATCCTGAGTTCAATCCCGGGGGGAAAAAAGCATTTATCACATACTATGTAAAACAACTCTCAAGATGAAACACTATTAGCAGAATTCTTTAGTGGAATGAAAAAAAAAAGAGCCCTCTATATATTTCCAACTGTTTGTTCTTTTCTCGTAGGTATCTGGGAACTCAAGTATTATTACTAAAACTACCCACTATTCACATAGTTGTTAAATATTTTAAATTTGTTTGGGTTGTTTGTTTGTTTTTGAGACAGGGTTTTGCTGTGTAGTCCAGGCTGGCCTGAACTCACAGTGATCCTTCTGCCTCAGCCTCCTGAGTGCTAGGATTATAGGGGTGTGTGCTACTACCTCCAGCTTAAATATTTTAAATTTTTTTGTGACATTTTCCAAATACTAAAAATCCTTGGGTGCATCTCCTATATCCAGTTTCTACTTCACTATTCATAAATAAGTGTAAGATATAATCTAATATTAATCAGGATCCTCTGAGCCCTCTGCTCAGTAGGGCCCCATTTCAGGCTTGTTGTAGAATGCAGTTTGAGGAAGAATCCTGCTTAGTGAGCTTAGTAAAAATCTCCCCCTGTAGTATCTAACCATCCTTGATATCTGGTCACCCTAGCCATCCTTCACCAAGAATACTATCCAGTCTTGCAAAAACCTCTTTTGCCACTGATGTTTCTTGTTAGTAATTTTCCATCTACTGACCTCCACCTTGTTTCCTAACTATAAACTCCACTTCTCCTTGCTGGTGTCAAAGTTGAGCCCAATCTCTGTCCACCACTGTAAGATCCTGCTGCAGTGCCTCCTTCCTTTTTTGGTGGCACTGGGAATTGAACCCAGGGCCTTTGCATTGATCTACACCTCCATTCTTTTTTTTTGGTACCAGGGATTGAACTCGGGTCCTTGCGCTTGCAAGGCAGGCGGCGGAACCACTGAGCTAAATCCCCGGCCCTCCATTCTTTTTTTAATTTTGAGGCAGGCTCTTGCTAAATTGCCAGGTTGGTGTCAAACTTGTGATCCTCATGCCTCAGCCTCCCAGAGTATTGGGATTACAGGTGAAGAAAGTCTTCCTTACTGTCTTAAAAAAATATTTTTAGGATGTAAAAGTCCAAACAAATTCTACCTAATGGAAACGAAGTTTATATGAAACATCTGTATTTGTATGGGGCAAATATGAGATGCTTTAAATTTTTTAATTACTTTAATACCATTTATAAATTTTATTATAGAAAGAATATACTACCGTCATTAGAAATTTAGGTCAAGTCTAGTAAAAGACAAAGAAATTGAAATTTAGATATCATATGTAGGAAGAAGAGGTAAGAAAGAAGGTTTTAAAAAGAAGTAGAGAATGAGACAAGTTTTCTGACAAATGAATTACTCATTTCATACTTTGAGCTTATTTTAAATAACACACAGATACTTCTTTACACAAAGAATAAGTAAATCAAAGATAAAACCAAATCCAATTACTCACCTAGCAAGTTGTGCTAGTTCTTTTTGGGTCAATGGACTTCCTTGTTTACATAACAGATTTTTAAGTAAAAGTAGTCTTGTCTGAAAAAGAAATATTAAAGAATTATCACTGTACACAGCGCCAGCCTGGCAAGCGCAAGGCCCTAAGTTCAATTCCTGGAACCAAAAAAAAAGAATTATCAGTGCGGTCTAATCTGATATCAAAACTATCAAAATTAATTTTTATTTTATTTGTGTTTTGAGATGGGGCTCACTACGTAGTCAGGTTGGCCTTGAACTCAGTTGGTAGCAGACACTGGCCTTCAACTCATAGTGATCCTCCTGCCTCATCTTCCCTAGTGCTGGGATTAAAGATGTGTGCCACACCTGACTCTAAAATTAGTAATTTTTAACAAGCTAAGAATTGGCTTAACAAAAAAAACAGTAACCAGGCTCAAATCATTTCACTGAGAAGCATCCCTCTTACCTGCTGGATTAAGTACCTATTTTTTGAGACTTTCTGAGAGAATTAAAGAAGATAATCCCAATAAAGTACTAAGGAAGTAGCAGTAGTCACTATCAACAATGCTGCTGTGTGATGGTGCAGGCCTATAATCCCAGCACTCAGGAGCCTGAGGCAGGAGGATCCCAACAGTTTTTGTTTTTTTTTTCCCCTGTCAACAGTTTTAAGGCCAGCCTGAGCTACATAGCAAGACCCTGTCTCAAAAAAAGAGCATCTGTCTTGAACTACACAGCCATACTTTTAAAAGTTTTACAGAAGTATTAATTTATATACCATGAATTTCACCCATTTTAAGTAATATCTCACTTTTTATAAATTTATAGACTTGTACACTATCACCATAATGTAGAATATTTCTATTACCCTGAAAAATTCACTAATGCCTATTTATCACTAATCCCCACTCCTATACCTTGTCCTAGCAGACCACTGATTTGCTTTTTGTTTCTGGAAAATTTCCTTTTTTGGGATTTCATATAAATTGAATCATACAATAGTAATTGTTAGCATGTGGCTTCTTTCACTTAGTATATATTTTTTTGTTCGTATTGTATGCAGGATTTTATTGAAAAATCCTACTCATTAAATGGGTATACCACATGTATTTATCCACTCACCAACTGATGAATGTTTCTTTGTAGTTTCTGATATCAATATGGGTGCTTTAAAAATTCTTACACATGTCTTGGTGTGCATATGTTTTCATTTCTCTTCAGTAAATTCTTGTAAGGTTTTATAGTAAATTTATGTTTATCTTTTAAATAAACTGAGAAACTGTTCCAAAGTGGCTGTACCATGGATTGGAAGATGGACTTCCTTGTTTATATAACAAGCATCCTTGTCAAGATGCTAGTTCTTCTGTTAAAAAAAAAATTAAAAAATAGATACATACCTCCTCATTTGGTAAAGACACATATACCCGTTTGATGAACCGCCTAAAAAAATTAAAGTTATTTTAAAAATATATTTTTGAATTTAAAAGTAACACAAGTAACAAATGACAGGAAAAGGTTTTAAGTATAATATTCAAGACACCTGAATGCATCTTGTAAGTTATCAACATAAAAACTGTTTTTACTTTTTAAGAGCTCTCCACTTAGTGTTTAAAAATCTTTAATTGAATAAATGGTTAACCATTTATGTATGTGTTTGTTTTAATAGCAATAATACTTTGAAACAAAATATATAAGTGGAATAAAGACATCTCTGTTGCCTTGTCAAATCCGAAAACTACAAAAATCAGTGAAGATTACAGAAACAAATACCAACTTAACCAAACCAGGTAATGTTTATGAAACTAATTTATATGAAGGGCTGCATATGGTGATGAAAATTACATAGCTGAAGGAACATACGCACAGGATCTACTAATGGAGATCATGGAAATGGCTGTCAAAGAGTTTTCCAATAAAGTGGAGACAGCACAGGATTAAGGTAATAAAACCACCTCCTCACATGCACATGAGGCCTGGCTTTGAAAATTATGAGAACCCTAACTGATAGCACAAGAATGGCAAGGAAGGTAAGGCTGTACAAAGGAATTCGAAGACACATGATCTTTGTAAGAAGGCATTAATCAGTCTGGCTGGATAATAAGCTGTTGTGCAGTGACCAATATTTTCAGTTAAAGAAGAAATCAACTCCATCTTTATTTACACACACATAGACTTATTATCAGGTAGGGCCTCACACTCTGTGACTGCTCATTAGTACAAGGTATACATGGGATAACTCAAGATGCCTGCACAGTATGTCTCTTTAAGTTTTCTAACCTGACCCAACAAAATCCTTCCAGGGGCTGGAAATTTAGCTCAGTGGTGCCATGCCTGCCCTGCAAGCACAAGGTCCTAAATCTGATCCCCTGTACCGGAAAAAAAAAAAAAAAAAAGGAAGAATGTACTAACAAAATCCTTCCAAAACTAAGTTTTCTGAGGAAATTAAAGAAAATATTCAAAGAAAAATAGTAAAAAATAGAAAAAAAATCCCAGGGCTCATTAAAAAAGAGAAAACATAATGAGGTGGATAAAATGAATGGCATACACAAGAACAGTGTACCACAAGGACAAATTACGACCAAATATTTCCCTACAGAATGAAACAATTTAATGTAAAAAAAAAATGGCTTTTTATGAAATAAGAATTCAAATGAGATACAAGAACTCAAAGAAATGACACACAAAGGCTTAGAGGATGATGATAAAAATAGGAGATGTTAGGAAAGCAATGAAAAAGAAAAACCACCACAGAAACAAAGGTTAAAAGGAAGTAGCAGAAAGGAGAGTAAATACTAACTCACTAAAATAAAGACAGCAAAGTTGATAAACAGAAGAAAACAAAACAAAAAAGACCTAAGAGTTTAAAATGATTAGAATGGAAATTACAGATACAGAGACAACATGCAATGTAATATGTATAATTTATGTGCACAAGAGAAAAAAACCAGAAAAATGAATTAGGAAAGAAAGTTAAAGATAGAATTCAAGGGCCGGGTATTTAGCTCAGTGGTTCCGTGGCCCGCCAAGCACAAGGACCCAAGTTCGATCCCTGGTACCAAGAAAAAAAAAAAAATTTCAAAATGAATTTGCAAACTATAAATATAAGCACAAGGACCCAAGTTCGATCCCTGGTACCAAGAAAAAAAAAATTTCAAAATGAATTTGCAAACTATAAATATAAGGAAACATCAAATCCTAGGAAGAATTAAATCAGTTTATTTTTTATAGATGCATGTTCCCTATGATGTGTTATCATTATGTATGCCTAAAATGTACCAACAAATGTTTTGCTATAAAAAAAAAACTGAAAATTTTATCCAGTGCCAGGTGTGGTGGCACACACCTCTAATCCCAGCACTCAGGAGGCTGAGACTAGAGGATCACTAGTTTGAGGACTGCCTGGGATACACAGTGAGTTCAAGGCCAGCCTGAACTATAGAGTGAGATCCTGTCTCAAAAACCAAACAAAAAAATTTTGTATCCAGTAAAAAAAAAAAGGTAAAGTAATTTATAGTTATGAAAACACTGTGACATCCAATCTCAGAAATAATGGAGCAGTATTATAAATTCTTTGGGGAAAAACATTAGGGGCACTTCAAGAATTTTCTGCTGAATCAAGCTGTCTTTCCAGTGGGAAGGGATTAAATTTGATGAAACACATAAAAATAGAAAAGATAGTTCTATAGTTCTCATGAGTCCTACTTTGATCAAGTTCTCATGAAACACAACAGAAGAGACTATAAGAATCAGTTGTGGGGTTTAAAAGATAGTTTAATACAATCTCAAAAAACTAAACAATTTGCCTAAAATCACAAAGTACAGATTAGTTCTCCTGATACTGTCCTGGACTTGACCTTAATATCTTTACTTAGATGGCAATAAGAGGCCAAAGGATAGCATAGGGAGGAAAATAATTTAATTTTGAAACTGAGAGTATGTGTGAGATGAACACATGAACACATGTATCTGTCATAAACGTGTTTCCAGACAAAGCTCCCTACCTGAGAACAGCCTCATCAAGCTCTTGTGGTCTGTTAGTTGCACCCATTACAAGTACTCTGTCATCTCCAGCAGACTGTACCTACAAGCCAAAGACAGGTTTTTTTGGTATTTTTAGATAAAGAAATTTTTTTTGGTACTGGGGATTGAACTCAGGATCTTGCGCTTGCCAGGCAGGTGGCGGCACCACTGAGCTAAATCCCCGGCAAGATAAAGAAATTTTAAAAAAGATACATGTATTTCTAATTTGGGTTATCTCACAGGAAAAAAAAAATATGTATATGCTGTCACAATATTGTAATTAATACTTACACCATCAAATTCTATTAGAAATTCAGTCTTTAGACGTCTACTAGCATCATGCTCCCCTTCTCTTCTTTCACATAAAAGGCTATCAACTTCATCTAGAGGAAATACAAGGGTAAGGCTTTAATTAAACACCAATCTATGTGAATCATTTCAGAGTAATCTAGTTTACTACATAAGTTATGAATATAGTGGGTGCTACTGAATTAAGTCTTTTTTTTTTGGTACCAGGGATCGAACTCCGGTCCTTGCACTTGCGAGGCAGGCGGTGGAACCACTGAGCTAAATCCCTGGCCCCGAATTCATGAATTTTTAACTTAAATTTTTTATTTTTGAATAATCTGTCCTATTATACCTTGTATATCTTATATTTGTAAAGGGAACTTTCACAAGTACTGTATTTAACTAATTTAGTTAGAAAACATGTTCTTACCTATAAAAATTATAGAAGGTTGAAGTTCTCGAGCCACAGCAAAAAGAGCTCTCACCAATTTCTCGCCTTCTCCCACCTAAAATAAAGCATTGGGTCCTATTTTACACATTAAGCACAATATTATTTCAGTCTTTTAAATTTCATAATTTCCAGTCTAGAATATGGGAATTTAATTTCTATTCCCTGCAATGACCAAAGACTTGATATGAGGAATTAGGGGTAGTCATGTTACTGAAATGTTCCTTATAATTTTAGAAAATACACTATTTACTTATGATTTCATGTAGCCTGGTAAGTACTTTTAAAAATGAAATACACTTGTGCTTTGCTTTACACTTGACACTGAAGAGCTATTACTTGGGGTATAACTAGTGAAAAGAAGGAAGACTAAGGTAGAGAGATGCTGCACATAGTCCATAAGCCCTAGACTACAGGGTACCTTTACAGAAGCAGGTAAGTAGGAAAGTGCTCTCCTAAACAAAACTTGCCTTATTAGGACATGTTGGAAACTCATTCTCAGAATACCATTGTCAATAAACACCAAAATATGTCTTCATAGTCCAGGAGGGCAATGAACACCCCTAGAGACACTCCCAGATACTCAATTCACCATGACTCAGGCCATTCTACACATCAAAGGATCAAATAAAGGGGCCATGAAGTCTATTACTCTAATAATCTAATCATGAATCTGCTGTAAAAACTGTTATGTCCTCTAGGTGGCATTTATCCTTCTATTGAAATATTCCCTTAAAAACAAACTACATAACCATGTCGGCACATGCCTAAAATCCCAGCTACTTGGGAGGCTGAGATAGGAGGATTATAAATTCAAGGCCAGCCTGGACAACTTAGTGAACTCCTGGTTCAAAGTAAAAAATAAAACTAAAAAAAAAGCAGGGTATGTAATTCAGTGATAAGGTGCTTGTGCTTGCCTAGCATGCACAAGGCTCTGGGCTCAAACTTGCAATCCTCTTGTTTTACTTAAGTCTCCCAGGGTGCTAGGAGTACAGATGTGCACCACCACATCCTGCTGTTTATGCTTGTAATCCTGGCTACTTGGGATTCTGAAGGACGATTGCAAATTTAAGGCCAGCTTGAGCAACTCAGCAAGATTCTTCTATAAAAGGGGCTGGTGGGCCGGGGATTTAGCTCAGTGGTTCAGCCACCTGCCTCAAAAGTGCAAAGTCCAGAGAGTTCGATCCCCGGTACCAAAAAAAAAAGGCGGGGTGGGGCTGGTGATGTAGTTCAGTGATAGAATGCCATTGGATTAAATCTTAGGTTTTATACACACACACACACACACACACACACACACACACACACACACACACACGAACGGTCCCATCGAGATTTGTAGTCATCAAAACAAGTATTTTCAGAGTTGGAAGGAACATCACTTCTTATGACATTAACATCTTACAGATGAAGGAGGCCTGGTACTTTCTTAAGGCCATCTTAGGATGTAAAAGACAGGTTGGAATCTCTATCTCCCAACTTCCAAGACAGTGCTTTCCATTATACTATGTTCAAAATGTGGCATAACCTTCTGTCATATCAACTAGTGAACTTTCACACAAAGCAAAATGTGATCAGGGAAAGAGGCCATTTTAATTGCTTTACAAATTGAGAACAATTTTAAGTACTAAAGCCTATAATCCCAGCATCTGGGAGGCTGAGGGAGGAGGATCTCCTCTAGTTCAAGGCCAGCCTGGGCTACATAGTAAGTTCAAGGTCAGCCTGAACTACACAGCAAGATCCTGTCTAAAAGAAAAAAAACAGAAAGAAAAATAACAAAAAGCAAAGGAAAATCTTATATCACATTTTAGTTCAGAACAGGAAAGCCAAAACACTCAGTCTAGACCATCAGTTCTTCTCCCAGATGGTGGGTCCTTAAGAGCAAAGCCACTTTACTTGAAGCGTAAGTGGAAAAAGATGGTATTTGTCAGGGTTAAACTGTTTGCTCAAAACATGCTGAACTCCTATCCCCAGTACCTATGAACGTGACATTATTTGGAAAGAGTCTGCAGATGATCAAGTCACTGTTATTGAGACCTCTTATCCAGTATGACCGTGTCCTCATAAAAACAGAGATCTGAAAACACACACTGAGGAGAACACCACGGGAAGATAAAGGAAGAAACTGAAGTGATGGATCTACATCTACAAGCCAAGAAATGTCAAAGGTTGCCAGCAAACCAGCAGAGGCAGAGAGAGTCCTGCAACACATTCTCCCGCACAGCCCTCCAAAGGAACTAGCTCTGCCGACACTCTGATCGGGGACTTCCAGGCTTCCAAATTACAAGACAATAAATTTATAATGTTTTAAGCCAGCAGTTTATAGTGCTTTGTTATGCAGCCCTATCAAACTAACACAGTATTTCACAATACAATATTAATTTTTTAAAAACCTAACAAATGTACTTATTTTTTATACTGAAGAGAGATACTCAGCATGTGTAAATAACAGATATAAAACTCACAAAAAATTATTTTTGGGAAATATCATTTATATTTAACATAGTAACTTTTTGAAAATTGATTTTTTACCAGTTAACTTTGGCAGGTTTTAGTAGAACAAGGGATTCTGTATACATTTGCTCAGTCTTTCAGGTTTCCTTGTGTTACAGCCATTCATTAAGCTGATTGTGTTCTATACTCACAACTTTAGGATGAGAACAAAACACAGTAACATTTAAACAGCAACTTAAAACATAAAAATACTAGAAAAAACTCACATATTTTGAAGTTAAACTTGCAGCACTGATATTAAAAAATGTTGCGTTAGATTCTGCAGCTACTGCTTTAGCCTTTAAAATCAGAAGAACAAATATATTAGTTCAGTATTTTGCTTTAAAAAGATAGTGACATTTAATCAACTTAAGTGCTAGAACAGACTTTCTAAAAATGTACAACTGAATTCCCACTTATGGCCATGAGCATGTTTCCCTTTGGTAAGAGAAAAAGTTCTGGAAAAAGCTCTGCTTCTTTTTACTCTCTTCTAAGAAAGGATGGGTGTGTGGGGTACTAATCACTTAAAAATGAAAAAATAACTGGTTAGAGAAAGATAAATAGCAGGCCAAGGATGTAGCTCAGTGGCAATCCGCCTGCCTGACAAGCGCAAGGTCCTGAGTTGGATCCCCGATACCACACACACACACAAATATATAAAAAAAAGATAAAAAGCTAATAAAAGTTACTTTTCCTATTTTTCTATCTAGGAGAGCAATGCAGAGAATAGAGGTATCTAGATCTTGGTACTAATTTCTGGTAAAGGGATACTGAAAAGAGCTACATGTATTTAATATTTAATAAAACTATGAAGATAACAAAACATTAAGGGTTAGAAAGATATTCAATATAGTAGGGTAGGGATTTCTAAAAAACCAGAACCATACTACTGAGGATAACACAGTTTTCCATTTATTTCTGCATTGAAAACTAGTTTAATAACAAGTATATGAAAACAAAAAGCAAATGATGAAGTACAGACTCAGGGGCAATGTGAGGTTTCTTTTTTTCCATATTTATTCTAGTATTTCAACAAAATACTTAACTTTGAAAAGAATTCTTACCAGCATTGTCTTCCCATTTCCAGGTGGACCAAAGAGTAATAATCCTCTGGCAGGTGCTCTAAGCCCTGTAAACAACTTTTGAAAATATGTATTAGTTCACAACTATGACTCTGAAGACAATTTTTCCAGGTATTTTAAGTGCTGACTTCCAATAAAATATTAATTTTCTGTAGCATCCTCCCAAATAGAAATCACCAGAGCTTTACAGGTGACACATATCAATATGTTAGTATAATTAAAAACAAGGAAAAAAGATGAAAACAAATTCATATCCTCAGTGATCAGAATAAAAGACTAATTAGGGCCAAGGATTTAGCTCAGTGATTCCGGCGCCTGCCTCACAAGTGCAAGCAAGGTCCCAAGTTCAATCCTGGGTACAATAAATAAATAAATAAAAGACTAATTAAAACAAGAGATTGAATATAGGCTTGTGTATATACTGAGAAATCCCACCAAATTATACTACATGAATAAAATAGACATAAGTTTTCCAAGGAAAAATCAGAAAGAGGGTTGGGGAGTGTGGTTCAATGGTAGTGCACTTCCTTAGCTTGTCTGAGGCCCTGGGTTCCATCACTAGCACAAAACAAAGCAAACAAACAAAAAACAAAACAAAGGAAAAGGAGGTAACAGAGGACACAATAAATTCTTGTATGATGAAGAATTAGAGGTGGCAAATGTGCTCTGGGAGGCTGAGACAGGGGGATCACAAGTTCAAGGCTAGCCTGGGCAACTTAGTGAAACTCCATCTCAAAATAAAAACAAAAAGGACTGTGGATGTAGCTCAAAACAAAGGCCCTAGGTTCTATTGGGATGGGGTAGGGTGGCCCAACAACAAATGCTTTCTATTTTAATAATTTTCCAATTATTTTAATGATTTAACAGGAAAAATTTAAATAGCATATCAAGTCAGTGATTTCATGTACTTAATGTGTAATAAGTATAATAAAAAGTAAATATTTAGTACCTTCTAGTATAGTTAAGTACTCCAAAGCAATAAATACCATGCTGCACATGAAAAACTAACTATGAAAAAGTAGAGCCCTTCAAACTTCGCACATTCATTTAAAAGTGCATCCTTCACAATGTGCCACACAACTGTACATCCAGATGTTTTTGATTCCATGAGATGTAAATGTTCAAGGAGAAATAACTGACTCAAAAATGGGATCTATGTTTTGCTTTTTGCAATATAAATGGAATAGCATTAAATATTCAATCTAAACCAGGTGTGGTGGTGCACACCTGTAATCCCAGTACTTGTGAGGCTGAGGTAAGAGGACTGCTACAAGTTTAAGGCCTGCCTGGGCTGCACAGTGAATTCAAGGCCAGCCGGAACTATAGTGAGACCCTGTCTCAAAAAACCAAAATAAATAAATAAGCAAGCAATCTATGAATTGCAAAAACCCAATCAGTGCAAAGTATGAAAAACTGATTATCAACTGCCAGATTACACATCTTCCTTTATGAGTCTAAAATATGAGATGGAGTTAAACCCCTATATATCATTCACTGTCTATGTACTTTGGTAACTTAATACCTTTGAAAATAATTCTTTTAAAAGATTATTCTTTAAACTTAATTATTTTTTCTTAATTTCTCTTCTCTCCAGTATGATTTTTTTCTTTTTATGGTACCGGGGATGGAACGCATGACCTTGCACTTGTGAGGCAGGTGCAGCACCACTGAGCTAAATCCCTAGCCCTCTCCAGTATGATTTCTGTATCTTAATTTTTATTTTCTTTTTGGTTTTTTTTCTTTTTTTTTTTTTTTGGTACTGGGGATCAAACTCAGGACCTTGTGCTTGCAGGGCAGACAGAGGAACCACGGAGCTAAATCCCGAGTCCTCTTTTTGGTTTTTTGAGATAAGGTCTTGCTATGTAGTTCAGGCTAGCTTCAGACTCTCCAGGATCTTCCTTCTTCGACCTCCTGAATGCTGTGATTGCAGACATGTGCCACCATGCCTGGCTTGTATCTTAATTTTACATCTCTATCTCACCTTGATATAAAAAACTGTAACATTCACTTTTTTAATAAAAGTTAAAAATAAAATGGGAATCAGAAATTCTTATATTCATTCTTCTCTCTTATAATAACCTGTAAACATGAATTATTGTTTGTCTTTTAAAAACACTAACTCTACTATTGGTTATATGAATTAATCATTCCAGCACAGGATATTTACTATAATCAATTAAGTAATGCACAGTTTTATAATTTTTTGTTTTTGTTTTTTGAGACAAGGTCTCATATGTAGTTCAGATTGGCCTTAAATTCACTATGTAGCCCAGGCTGGCCTCAAACTCACAGTGGTTCTCCTGCCTCAGCCTCCTGAGTGCTAGGATTATAGGTATGCGCCACTATCCAGGATGGATGATGTTATCTGAAAATGATAATACAATGTCCTTACCTCAGGCCTGAGAGAAGGAAGAATAACAATTTCTTGCAATGCTTGTTTTGCCAACTCTTGACCAGCTATATCATCAAATTTAACAGCTGTCCCACTAAGAAAAAGAACTTCAGTTAATTCCACTATAAAAATATGGTTATTAAAACACATAGGAACTATAAAGCTCTATGAAGTATAATCATTTTTGTTAACTATGAAACTATAATTTAGTAAAAATGATTTTCTGTAGCTATAGCAAAAAAATTATCTTTTGTAAATAAGGAGAGGAAGAGAGGTTGAAGGGAGGGATGGGGAATGGGAAAAACAAAGAAGCAAGATATATCATGTATAGATACAAATTCCCTATGATGACTGTTATCATTATATATCTCCAAAATGTACCAATAAAAAAGTAAAATATCGCAAGCACAAGGACCCGAGTTCAATCCCTGGTACAAAAAGAAAAAAAAAGTAAAATAAAGGGCTGGGGCTCAGTGGCATCACACCTGCCTCGCAAGCACAAGGTCCTGAGTTTGATCCCTGGTACCAAAAAAAAAAAAAAAAAAGTAAAATAAAGTGCCCTAAAAAGTAAAAAAGTATCATAAAAATTAAGTATATAAATCACAAAAAGTATTATCTATTCCTGTTGTATTTTTTTACAATGAAAATAGTTTTATTATGAATCAGATCCTGGCTGCTTAAATACTTCAACTTTATTCCCAAGTTGAACTTCCTCTATATTTTACTTGTAATACATTCTATAAATACAATTCAAAACCAAAAACTATACAGTCTTTAGATGGCAAAACTTACTTGTCCACAATTTCATTCATTATAAGGTTAGCAAGGTTGCTATCCACATTCCTAAAATTCTTCAAGTCTTTCTTTTTTCGAGCAGCAGTTGTAGGGGTTGAAGGCTTATTTGTTCTGTTTATTTTTGGAGTGCCCTAAAAGGATATAGAATTTTAATGTGTAAATATAACCTATTATCCATACTTTTTTATATGTGAAATAACCTAAGTTCACAGAATTCAGTTTTAACAAACAGGAAAAAGAGGGCCAGGGATTTTGCTCAGTGGTTCTGGCACCTGCCTCACAAGTGCAAGGTCCCAAGTCCGATCCCCGGATCCCCGGTACCAAACACAAACACACAAACACACACACACACACACACACACACTCACAAAAAGAATATAAAATTCCCTAAACTGTGTATTTACCCCAGGGCAAAACAATATTACATTTAGCATGAAGTTGGTTTACAGAGATTTTATTCAGAGATTTAGTTAATGTAAAAGAAACAGGCCCTATGACAATAGTCATATAATTTTTTTTTTTTTTGGTACTGGGGATTGAACTTGGGTCCTTGAGCTTGCGCAGCAGGCGGTGAAACCACCGAGCTAAATCCCTGGCCCATAACAGTCATATAATTTTGATCCTTATTAGAATTATAAGAAAACTTTGGGTATATTTAATATTAAATTTGCATGAACTGAAATTAATAAATTTAAAATGAGAGAGATATATATTTAGCATTATATTAAAGAGACTGGGTAACTCACTCAATATAAAATGCCTAATTAGGGGCCTGGGATTTAGCTCAGTGGTTCTGGCACCTCCCTCGCAAGTGCAAAGTCCTGAGTTCGATCCCCAGTACCAAAAAAAAAACCCCTAATTAGGTCCAAAAGGATTAAATAGAGTTTGCTTTTTACTAGCAAGTTTGCCCTTCTAAATTAAAAGAAATTACATTTAACTTTCTGGAATCTTACCAATTTTCTAAGTATTATTATAAAGTTCTTACAATAAACTTAAGCAAACACAGCATTTCTATTTGCAAAAGCGCAACTATTACAGTTCCTGTCCTCCAATACCTTATGAGCCGCTGTTGTAGGACCAGGCCCCTGTCTCGTTCCAGAAACCATGGATAAACCACTGCAACTAGGTGCTCTGTGGTGACCTGAAAGACCTGTGGATCCAGTTTTCATAACTGTTTTTGAGCGAGGCAGTGAATTACTAGCGTGTGTTAAGGGATCTTTTCTTTTTGGAACAGCTCCACTTTCTATCAAAAAAAAAGGTAAAACCATTATGATTAGAAAATTGTGGCTAAAAATTATAAAATGTAATAAAAAGATAGGTACAAATTTATAAAACTAAGCTAACAGCATTTTTAAAATTCAGAAATATTTCAAAGATTTCAATCAGAACATATGCCAGGGTGTTTACAGGGGTTGTCAGTAGTTGAAAAGAACTATGGCAATTAGGTAGTTCCTTTTCCTGATACAGTCAGATTTTCTTAGAAAATGTATCTGTAAGAGAAAGAACCAACTTTATGTGTGGAGAAATAAAGATGATATAAGAAAGGTACCAAATAGGGCCAGGGAGCCGGGATTTAGCTCAGTGGTTTTGCCGCCTGCTGTACAAGCTCAAGGACCTGAGTTCAATCCCCGGTAGCAAAAAAAAAAAAAAAAAAAGAAAAGAAACTGGAGCCAGACTGAATGTTACCTTTGGGCCGGGGACTTAGCTCAGTGGTTCCCTTGCTTGCCTTGCAAGTGCAAGGACCCGAGTTCAATCCCTGGTACCAAAAAAAAAACCAAAACAATAAAAAAATTGCCACCTGCCTTGCAAGTGCAAGGTCCCAAATTCAATCCCTGGTACCAAAACAAATAGGGCCAGGAATTTAGCTCAGTGGTTGTACCTCCTGCCTTGCAAGTGCAAGGACCAGAGTTTGATCCCCTGTACCAAAAAAAAGAAAGGTACCAAGCAAATAAAGCTCTCATACACTTAAGAAACAAAATGCAGTAAAGGTCAGAGGGATATGTTGCACACAGAAAAAAAGCAGTATCCACTATTTTGGTGGCAAACATGCATGACTCTAAAATATTATGCAAAGGGCTGGGGATTTAGCTCAGTGGCTCCGCTGCCTGCCTTGCAAGCTCAAGGACCTGAGGAGTTTGATCCCTGGTACCAAAAAAAAAAAATACTACAGAAGGTACTGCCTATGATCACCAGAAGTTTTTAAATTAATCAATTTTAGTTCAAAAAACATAAAGCTGAGGATTTCAACATGCCAAGTATTTGATGTGCCAAATTTATAGAACACTTCTGATTAAGTTGAAAGAAAGGTTACCAATCCTGTGATATTCTTCACATAAAGGCTTTATGCTAATAGCTCATGAAACACTTTTTGTGCAAAATAATAAACTAGGAAAAGTCTTACTTTGAGAGGGATGATTGAGTTAGGGTCTCACTATGTAATCCAGGCTGGCCCTGAACCGACTATGCAGCCCCCAGGCTGGCCTCAAACTCATGGCAATCCTCCCGCCTCAATCTCCTGGGTGCTGGGATTATAGGCATGTGCTACCACCACATTCAGCTCTCAAAGGCTTTTAAATGTTCAAATCTTACCACTTCTAAGTAATATATTTACATAAAAAATATCAGTGCTTATTAACAATGTTCACTGTAAAGACAAATGTTACACCAATGAGCAAATTAGGCTGGGTAAGAGAAAAGACGAAGGCTTCAATTTTGCATCTGTTATCGAATCCCTTAAAATGGTTTAAAGAACTAAGGACTCAGGCCAGGGATTTAGCTCAGTGGCACCGCACCTGCCTTGCAAGTGCAAGGTCCTGAGTTCAATCCCTGGTGAAAAGAAAAAAAAACAAAAACAAAACTAAGGACTCTATACTAGTTGAGGGAATCAGACTGTTTATAATTAGAAAGAATAAATAAAATTCAAGATTTAAAAGAATCCCATATTCAGGATATCTTAAAATGGTCTCCAAACATTCATCCCACATTTAGCCACTGTGGGATTAAAATCAGGACCTCTATGACAAGTGGAAGAATACGCATAGCACTGAGAAAAAGACAGTTTTAACCATGTACTCAAATACTGAAACACTACACCAACTGTGAGCCATCATTTATATTATAATCAAATTTATGACAGTCATGAAGATTATTATAGGCCCACTCAAGGTTAACTTAAGATTGTTCTTCTAGCACATAAATGACTATGACTTACAGAATTGTATTTTTCACAGTAAGAATTGAAAGTATTCCTATTTCTCTAATAATTTTAAAATTAATAATTCATTTCATTAAGTTAACAATATATCAAATGGCTAATACGCACAGTATACTAAGAAAAACCAAAAAATGGAAATAGGGTTTCTACTGACAAAATCAGATTCAATTTACAAAAGACAGAGAACAAATAATAATAATTAGGAAAATTATTACAATATAACAAATTATAATAATTAGGAATAACTAGAAAATGTAACTAAATGATAAGACATGTCAAAATAAGGGAATAGAGTAAGCTTGATCAAGAGGTTTATCCAGTACATAAATGTAAAGTCCTGAACCCTATGGTCAAGGAACTAATGGATGCTGACCATCAGGAAGAAGTAGGAAAGTATTCAAGAAAAGAGAACAATGTGAGCAAATGCAAAGATCTGAGGCAAAAGCAAGATCAGGCAATGGTAATTTATATGCAAGCCTTCTCATATTATGTTGGTTAACCTAAAACCCACCTGACTGGAGATGTCCATTTCGGCATGTCAAGTTAGTACTGTCATTATAGACGTCCGTTTGTGACTTGGAAAATTGCAAAACCGGTTGCAGCTTCTCTATGCAACAGAGGAAGTTAAAAAAGAACAAAATAAACAAAAAGAAAAAATATAATGAACAAATAAAATGTGCATGTAAAAAGGAAAGATTCAAGGCGTTATAAGGTTATATAATGAGTTTTTGCACTTATATACATACTCTTTAAAAATGTAATTAGTAAAATCTGAGACATAAAAAAAAATCTGAGACATGAAATAACAGAAATTAACAAGTGAAAGGCTATAATTCAAAATATTTAGGCTTGGTAACTTGAGACAGTTACCTATCATCACTATTATTATTATCAGCAAATAGTTAATGAATATCTAATATATCCAAATCACTGTTGGGAGAGTACCATGGAGATTTAAAAAAATGAATATGAGCTCTACCATTCATAAACTTGTTGAATTGGACTGGCAACTTAAAACATTATTGTTATTTTTATTAAAAAAAAAAGATTGCACAGTACAAAAAAGACCACTCAAAAGGCTTTACAAAGGAAGTGAGTTGAAAAGATAAAAGGGACATTTCAAAAGAGAAAAGCACTTAAGACTGCACAGAAGGAAATTTTAAGGATTATCTGGAAAATGCTGTATTTGGTGATATTAAATCAGGCAAAAATAAAGGTAATAAAGCAGAGTAGGATAAGCACACTGCAGAACTGTGTGTACGGTACCCTATCATTTGCTTAAATACAAATATGAACAGCTCCAAGCTTAAACTTTCCTTCCACTACTCAATAGCAAAGTTCAAAAAAAATCTGTTTGGTGTTCCTAAATCTGCTCAATTGTCGATCTGAAAATCTGACTTGAAAAAACCTGTACAGGGCCAAAAATGAGTCATATGCTGTGTCCCACATGGACACTTCACTCTAAGTGCCGCTCTTGCCCAGACAACACATGGTGCTTGTGTTAGTGCGTTACAACATTCGTCACTGTGGCTCCAAAGAAAGTGACACCAGCAATAAAGCTAAGAGGAAAACTGTGAGAACCATGATAGAGTTAAAGAAAGAAATCACTGTAACATCTAAAGTCCTGAACAAATGAATTTATAAGTGTAATTTTGGGGCCTCAGAACCAATTATTTGGTTTTCCATTATTTCTTATGGGAAAAATACGTTCAGTTTTTGAACTTTTCGGTGTTCAAACACAAATCTGAAATGAATGGAGTTTGACAACTGAGGTATCACTGTGGTTGTATATATGAGGATTATCTCTAAAAAGAACCCAGAGAAACTGGTAATACAGTAGCACCTTGAGAGGGGAGATGGATCACTGGGACACAGTGTGAGATGGCTGCTATTCATACTTGAACACTGAACATTCTGTGGCATGTGCATATATTATATGCTTTTAAAATTTTATTTCATTATTTCCTTTTTCTTTTTTCAGTACCAGGGACTGAACTCAGGACCTTGCGCTTTGCCAGGCAGGTGTGGTGCCGCTGAGCCACATCTCTGGGCCTATTTTTTTTTTTTTTGAGTTGTTTTCTTTTTTTGGTACTGGGGATCAAACTCAGGACCTTGCGCCTTCGAGGCAGGTGTGGCACCACTGAGCTAAATCCCTGGCTCTTTCATTTTTCTTTGAGACAGCGTCTTGATATGTAGTTCAGGCTGGCTTGGAACTCACGATAGTCCTACTGCCTAAGCCTCCCAAGTGCTGGGATTACAGGAGGAGTGGGCCACAATGCCCAACTATAAATTATATATATATTTTTGTTTTTTGGGGGGGTTTGAGACAGGGTCTCACTATGTAGTTAAGGCTGGCCTTGAATTCACTATGAAGCCCAGGCTCGCCTGGAACTCACTGCAATCCTCCACCTCTGTCTAAGTGCTGGGATTACAGGCATGCACTACCATGCCCAGCAAATTATATGCTTTTTAAATTGATAATCTGAAGAGGATTATTTCAACCCTATCCCTACTTCAAATAATAAATATCCTCTACCTAGATCTCTAAGTCCAGCAAGCAAAGCCCAAGAAAGTAGAAGTTTAATCTTCTTTGCCACTCTAAACCACTCCTGTATTCTTCTCCTATCTAGTCAATCTGAATGCTAGTTGATATGCTTTGCTCCACTACTTAACTAGGGACACGACCTTGCTTTAACATCAGTTTTCCAAAGATCTCAAAGATTAAAGAAAATAATGTACATAAAGTATATTTTCTGTGCCTAACCCATAATACAGGCTGTTTTACTCTGCTTATTTTCCTGAAATGTTCCAAACCATCGTAACAGTTTCTCTTTTTCTACACCAGCGTGTCAATGGATACATATAAAATGCAATGCGGGATTATACAGGTTTACCTCAGTGACACCATTTGCCTTGCATATATGAGACCCTGGGTTCAACTGCCCAACACCACAAGGAAGCAAGCAAACGCAAACACACACACACACATACAAATAGATATATATTAACTCTCTTAAACTTTTATTTCTAGGGTCAGACAAGCAGGCACCATGCTTGGTTTATGGTACAACACATGCCTTTGGGACAGGTTAAATAGCAGCTTCCTTTTACACAAAACACAAAGTACTGCACAGCTTTTGTGTCCTAGAACTGGTTGATACAATATACCCTGGAGCTTTTTTTGGGTTAGCTAACAGGTAGGTCATCTGATTTTTCTCAGTGATAATACTGTACTCTTTAAATCATGATACTGTGACATACTAAAAGCAGAAATTAGGAAAAAAAACCCAGATTTGTAAAAGTTTTCTTTATCAATTAACACTTTCTTCAATTAAAGGCAACAATAACTTCATAGAAAAATTCATTATATAGTAAACAGAAGCTAAATCCTACATATTCAGCCACCTTTTCTTTGACAAAAGGACCAAACACCTTCACTGGAAGAAAGATAGCCTCTTTAATAAATGGTGCTGGTAAAACTGGCTTTCCACATGCCTAGACCCATATCTCTCATCATGCACTAAGCCAAAATTGAAATGGATCAAAGATCTAAATATTAAAACAGAAACACTAGGGGGCGAGGGATCTAGCTCAGTGGTGCTGCGCCTGCCTTGCAAGTGTAAGGTCCTGAGTTTGATCCCCAGTACCAAAAACAAAAAACAAAAAACCCTGAGATTCCATCTCACTCCAGAAAGAATGGTTGTTATGAAGAAATCAACCAATAAAAAATGCTGGACGAGGTTTGGGGAAAAAGGAACCCTGCTCCACAGTTGGTGGGAGCATAGACTAGTGCAATCACTGGAGAAGTCAGTGGGGAAATTCCTCACAAAACTAGGACTAAGGGTTCCATTTGACTCAGCTATTCCCCTTCTTGGTATCTACCCAAAAGAAAAAAACGTCACAGCACAGAGATATATGCATACCCATGTTTACAGCAGCACAGTTTGTAGTATCTTTATCTTGGAACAGGCCAAATGCCCATCAACTGATGAATGGATAAAGAAGATGTGGTATTTTAATACAATGAAGTACCACTCAGCCATAAAGAAGGATAAATGAGACATTTCTAGGTGAATGGATGCACCTTGAGACAATACTCTTAAGTGAAATAAATAGGACACACATGTGTAAATATTGCATTGTTTCTCTGGTGTGAGAAACTAAAAGAGTAAATAAGGACCCAAAATATATAATAGAAATTGTGAAATAGGAAGAAAATGTTCAAATGGTAAGGGGCTCTAGAGAGGCGGGGAGGGAGAAGGGAAGGAAAACAAAGGAAGGAAAAGAAAAAAAAACAAAAAAAGAAGTAAAAAATGGAAACAATGGTTTAAAAGTAAGGAGAGAAGGGGAATGGGAAAAAAAAGGTTAAGATATATTCTGTACTGGTACAAATTCCCTATGATGAATGTGATCCCTATATCTAAATTGTACCAATAAACTTAATTTAAAAAAGAAATTAAAACCTTTGTTTTCTAATAACTAGAGATAAAATGTTATAGGAATTTGTTTTTGCATACAACAGAGTTTAGATTCATATGTGTGGAAACACATAAATACATTACAGCAGTACACTGCTGTCATGACCTTACTTTAATTCATTTCTATTATTCAAAAAAAAAGTGAACAGGGCCGGAGATTTAGCTCAGTGGCACTGCACCTGCCACGTAAGCACAAGGTCCTGAGTTCAACTGGTACTGGGAAAAAAAAAAGAGGGACTTGGTCTCAAAATGACAAAACAAACAGGATAAGAATAAATAAATGAATAAAAATACATATATATGTGAAAATTTTTTCTTCTCAAGGTTAGGAGGTAATTAGGTAAAACAATGAATAAAAACCATCATTTCGGGACTAGGGTAGAATGCTTGCCTACTACCTATGTTCAAGGCTGTGGCTTCAATCTCTACTATTGGAAAAATAATTTTCTAAAAAGTAATTACTATGGGTTAGGTTCCTTCAATAATTCAATGGTCACAAGTATGAGATAAATATTATCTATCAACCTATTATATTCCTGTACCAGGAATTGAACTCAGGACGTTGTGCTTGCCAGGCAGGCAAAATGCCACTGAGCTAAATTCCTGGCCCTAAAATTGTATTTTTTAAAAGGCTCGGACATGCTAACTAACTTACCCCAAATCACAGAGCTACAAATAGGTAAGGTCTGAGTTCTAGTATTTGGCCTTTCTTACCAGATATCTACTATTTCCACTACACCAAAGTACAGCAGAGAACTCACGCTTGGTGGGGTTTTGTTCTTCCTTGTTTTAGGGGTAGATTTGCCTTCAGAATATTTTAAAAACCTCTCCTATCAAATAAGAGATAAGGAAAAGTTTCTATTTCAGCTGATGAAAGATGAAAGAATGACAGAATTAAAATATCACTACACATCATAGTTAACTGCTGCTAACTACTCGTGAACGTACAACCCACTCTGAAGCAGAGCTAGCACTAAAAATAAAAATCAACTTTGAATCTAATCAAGGCTTTATATCCAACTATCAACTTACGAGGACAAAAAAAGATGTTAAAAGATACCATACAGATGTGTATAACAGCAGTTAGAACACAGGAAATACTATGTGACAAAGATCAAGTCTCATCAAAATCTTGCAGTTTTGAAAGATAAAAGAAAAGCAGGTGAACCTGTACAGTAAAAGAGATATGTTACATGAATGGTCTTGGGATCTTTTTTCTTTTTCTTTTTTTTTTATTTTGAGATTTTAATTCAACAAATAACTTACTAACAAATTCAGGTTTTGCTTTTTGGGGAGGGTTCTTTCTGTTTTCAGTGGAGATTAAACCCCGGACCTCAAGCATGCTAAGCAAGCAGTCCACCAAGTTACATGTACACAGTGGTTCCGCCACCTGCCTCGCAACTGCAAGATCCCGAGTTCGATCTCCAGTACCAAAAAAAAACCAAAAATAAAACCAACAACAAAAAAACCCCACCAAGTTACATCTACAGCCCTTTATTAAATAATTAATTAATTAATTAATTTTGGGGGTTGTGACAGGATCTCACTAAGTAATACAGACTGGCCCTGAACTTGCAATCCTCTTGCCTCAGCCTCCTGAGTGCTAGCATTATAAGTATGCAGCACCATACCTGGCTGCTTTTTACTTTGAGACAGTCTCGATAAGTTATATAGCCTGGTCAAAACTTTGTGATCTTCTTGCCTCAACTTCCCAAAAAGGTGGATTATAAACACGTGCCACCATAAGAAGTAGTAAAAGTTATTAAATTATGAGAAAACTTGAAACTTGTGTACTTACTATTTCTTGGCTTTTTAAAAATATTAAGACAATACTGGTTATTTTAAAAGTGTGACAATATTTTGGTGATTTTATTGATTGTGGTGCAATCGTTTGAAGAACAAACTCAGGGCCTTGTGCTTACTAAGCAAGCACTTTAATTTTTACTTTTGGGGGGGGGGTACCAGAGATCGAACTCAGGACCTTGCGCTTGCGAGGCAAGAGGCAGAACCATTGAGCTAAATCCCTCCCCCTTTTTTTTCTTGGTATCTGGACTTAAACTCAGGACCCTGCGCTTGCCAGGCAGGCACAGTACCACTGAGCTACATCCCCAGCCAGCAAGCACTCTACTACTTAGCTATGCTCCCAGCCCACAAGTGATTTTTCTAGCCCCTCCACTCAACCCCACCATGCTGTGCTGGGGATTGAACTCAGCGCCTCATGCATACTAGGCAAATACTTCATCACTAAGTTACAACCCAGCTTATCCGTGATTTTACTTTTAGTCATTACGTTTTAGAGATACAATGAGATTCAAATGAAGAGTTTCTTTCAAAATAATATGAAACGGAGATTGAATAGGGCTATAAAGTAGAGTTGGCAAACTTTTTAAAGGCCCAGATACAAAGCATTTTAGGTCCCTGCAGCAACAATTCAACTCTGCCATTATAACAGCATGAATGCATAAAGGAAGGGAAGCACGTGTGTGTTTCATAAAATTTTATTTTTTTATTTTTTGGTACTGGGAATCAAACTCTGGACCTTGCACTTGCCAGGAAGGTATTGCACCACTAAGCTACATCCCTGGCCCTAGTTTTAGTATAATAGTAAGCAGGGAAGCCAGGCATGGTGGTGCACATCTGTAATCCCTGCACTCTGAGAGACCGAGGCAAGAGGATTTTAAATTGAAGCCCAGTCTGGGCAACTTAGCGATTTAGCTAAACTCTGTCTCAAAATTTTAAAAATGACCGGGCATGGTGGTGCAGGCCTGCAGGCTCAGCACTCAGGAGGCTGAGGCAGAAGGATTGCCTCAAGTTTGAGGACAGCCTGGGCAACATAGCGAGTTCAAGGCCAGCCTGAACTACATAGCAAGATCCTGTCTCAAAAAACCAAGACACAAAAATAAAAAGGCATGTAGCTCAGTGTAAAGGCTCTGGGTTCAATCCTCAGTACCAAAAAAAAAGCAGTGAGTTGAGTTTGACCACAGACTGTCATTTACCAGCCTTTGTTATAGACAAATCAAGAATAGCCATAAACACCACCTGCCTCGAAAGCTCAAGGTCCTGAGTTCGATCCCTGATACAAAAAAAAAAAAAAAATAGAATAGCCATACATTGGTAATTAACAAAGCTCAGTGACACATAATAAGATGTTCATTATATTCTCGTCTTTTGTAGAGAAGAATGCTAGAAAGTTTCTGTAAGTTAAAGACTAGGCCACATTTTTTTCAATCACTGATCTATTTCTGTTGCAATTAAGGATTAAACACACATTTCAAATATATATCATACCCAATTTTACATAAATTGATACCTAGAAGTTGTAAACGATCCTTGGCCATAACCAAATTAGTCATCATTTTTGCTTGAAGACGTCTAGCTCTTTCACATTGTTCACCTAAAATTAAACAAGAATTAATTAAAATATCTACTATTCTCTGCTAACATTGTTTCAAGATAAAGCATCATCCCAATTATCTCATGGAGAATCAGGCTTTATTGAAATATTATTTTCAAATAATATCTACAGAAAAAATGACTTTTACTTTCTCATGATGGTTTCAAACCTATGTGGTACTTCACGCATGTTTCATGAGACCTAAAACATTTTTCACCCACCTTTCAAAACGCTTGAAATTGAGATGCATTCATCATCAGTGAGAATTTACAAATGCCCTCGGCCAGGTTGCAATCATAGCCTGTGCATGTACACGTTTGTCACAGATATCAATACTGTTCTTACATCTAAGTAAAACAACACATTCTATTTGATAAGAATAAAATTCAAATCCTAAGTGACAAGAAGAAACTATTGTAGTCTAGTTTGCAGGTTTTCCTCTTAGAGATACAACAGAAGACAATTTCATTTAATAAAATACTGTTTTTCTTACAATCAATCCATTGTCCTCTAATTTTTCCTCCATGTAGCTGACAAAGGCCTGCATGTTTATCAAGGTTTCAAAGGCCCAATTTCCCACACTTATTTGCTTTATTCTGCTTTCTTTTATACAGTAGCCAAAAGTAGTCATTATAATACAAAGGGAAAGGAAAAAGGCAGGGTCAATACTGCACATACTACAATTATGTATTAGAGATTTAGCTTATATTAGATAGCAGAGTCAGCCAGCTACCCAACAAACAGCTGCTAAATGGATTGAATGGATTGATTCTTAGCATAAATAATTTTTAATTCTCATTTTATTTTAGCTACGATAAACTGAAATATAATCATGTGGTGCATAATGACATTTTGGTCAACAATGGACCAAATGTATGACAGGGATCTCAACCATGCTGGTATAAACAGACTTTAGTGTATGATCTTGGGTTCAGTTCCAAGCAAAGCAAAGCAAAGCAAACAAATGAAGCACTACCCAGAAGTGCAAAAGGAATCTGTGGATTAACACAAATTTTTCTCCTTGATAATGAAAAAAGGAGCAGGTTTCAAAACAGGGCTAATGTGCTGGGTGTGGCAGTACAGCCTGTAATCTCAGCACTTGGGAGGCTGAAGCAGGAAGATCACCATAAATTCAAGGCCAGTCTGGGCTGCATAACAAGTTCAAGGTTAGCCTGGACTACATCATAAGACCCTGTCTCAAAGAACAAAACAAAATAGAACAAAAACTAGGGCCAAAGCATTTGACTGATGACCACATTACTACTTGCTACAAGTAGTCAAGTTTGAATATATCCAGTTACAGCTTCATTTTTAAGATAATAATAATGTTAACAATAACATTTAAAAATGTCTATCTTGGGGCCAGGGATTTAGCTCAGTGGTGCCGCACCTGACTCGCAACCACAAGGTCCTGAGTTCAATCCCTGATACCAAAGAAAAAAAAAATCAAGCTTTGGCCAGGGGATTTAACTCAGTGGTGCATTCACCTGCCTCAAAAGCACAAGGTCCTGAGTTCAATACTCATTACCAAAAAAAAAAAAATGTCTATCTTAAAACAAAAAGATCTGAAACCAGGGCAATTATGTGAATTCAGCAGTTTCCCCTTATCTGCAGTTTTGGTTTTGGGAGTTTCAGTTATCTGTGGTAACTGCAGCCCAAAAATATTAAATGAGCCAGGCATGGTGGCACACTCCTGCAATCCCAGTACTCAAGAGGCTGAGGCAGGAGGATTTCCTAAATTCCAGACCAGCCTGGACTACACAGTGAGTTCAAGGCCAGCCTGCACTATATAGTGAGACCCTGTCTCAAAAAAGCAAAACAAGGGCCAGGGATTTAGCTCAGTGGTTCCACTGCCTGCCTCACAAGCGCAAAGACCTGGGTTCAATCCCCGGTACCAAAAAAAAAAAAAAAAAAGCAAAACGAAAGAAACAAAAAATTAAATGAAAAAAAGGCCAAGAAATACTCAAGTCATAAATGTTAAACTGTGTTCTTCTTCCAAGGAGTGTAATGAAATCTCACCCTTGCCTGGTCTGTCCTACCCATGACATGAATTGTCCCTTCTTCCAACATATCCACGGTGTACTGTTCATGCTAAACTGCATGAAGTAGCCATTTTGGTTATCAATGCAGTACATATGGCTTGGTAGGATCTGCACTTTCCAGCATCCACTAGGAGCCTTGGAAAATATCCCCCATTGACAAGCAGGGACTACTGTCTAATGCAGGAAAGCTGCAAACAAATATAAATATAGCCTTACCTTGTCCTGTAACTATGACAGCTATTCCTTTTTCTAGTTCTTCGATACCTTTCTTATACCATTCCACAGCTTGCTCCTTCTGTCCTGCTTTAAAATAGAAATCATTATTTGTATATATCGTAAGTACTGACAAGTATTTCACACATTTCTCAAAGCATGCTGCTAACAGATGATACACAAAAAATAAAGTTGTGATGAAGTCTAAGAAACATTACTATATGACTTCTTGGTACTTTTGGCAACTTAGTATGTGCATGAATCTCCGAAAGGGGCAATACATATGTCTGTCAAAATTTTAAGGCTGTGAATCCTTTTTTTTCTTATTGTCTCATAGCACTGATGCTAGTAACAACTGAAGTGCTATACTGAGAAATAAATTTTTATTTAGAGAAAGTTTAGCCTTCAGCCTCTTTTTTTTTTTTTTTTTTGGTACTGGGGATTGAACTTCAGACCTTGAGCTTGCCAGGCAGGCACCGGCACCACTGAGCTAAATCCCCAGCCCTTAGAGAAATTTTAAATAAGTGGGTTTAAATACATATACTGTTGGAAAATATAAATACGATTTCAATGACAGTGAGGAAAAGCACGATTCAATCTAATTATATTCAAATTTAATGTAACACGTTCATTGATGAGTGATTCAAGTTTCTGTTTTGTTTTTTTTCTTTTTGGTACCAGGGTACCAGGGATCGAACACAGGTCCTTGAGCTTGCACAGCAGGCGGCGAAACCACTGAGCTAAATCCCCGGCCCCTGTTTTTTTTTTTGTTTTGTTTTGTTTTGTTTTGTTTATTTTTTGAGAAAGGGTCTCACTATGTAGTTCAGGTTGGTCTTGAAGTCACAATGCAGCCCAGGCTGGCCTCAAATTTGCAGCAATCCTCCTGCCTCAGTCTCCCAAATGGTGAGATTACAGGTGTGTGCTACCACACCTGGCTTAAAGTTTCTATTTAACATGACTGTGCCATCATAACTAGTGCGTGGCATTACAAGTGTGGCATTTAGTTACAAATTATCTGGCCAGACGTAGTGGCGCATATCTGTGATCCCAGCACTAGGGAGGCTAAAGCAGGAGGATTAGAGGTCAGCCTGGGCTACACAGAGCTCAAAGGCCAGTCTGAACTACATAGCAAGACCCTGTCTCAAAAAGATATATATATTTTTTCTTTGAACCAAATGATTGGTTTAAAACATTAATTCTTGACCCAAGTTAAGCTTTAAAAGTTTATGCTTGGGGCCTGGGATTTAGCTCAGTGGTTCTGTCGCCTGCCTTGCAAGAACAAGGACCCAAGTTCGATCCCCAGTACCCCCCCTAAAAAAAGTAGAAAAAGTTTATGCTAAAAATTCAGCATAGTCAAAATACACATAGGGTACTTCTGTAAAGTGATAATTGTATATAAATCTCATTTTCTTTTTTGGGACTGGGGCTTGAACTCAGGTCCTTCTGCTTGCGGGGCAGGCAGCAGAACCACTGAGCTAAGTCCCCGGCCCCTTTTGTTTTTGAGAAACAGTTTGAAGTTTACGCTGGCCTTGAACTGACTATGTAGCCTAGGCAGGCCTCAAACTTGTGGCTATCCTCCTGCTTCAGCCTCCTAAGTGCTGAGAGATTACTATGCCTAACAAGTCTCATCATTTTTGAAAATTAATTTCTTACTCCATAGACTATAAAGCTTCCTGAGTGGCCAATACCAAAATGTAAGAAAGTGAAGGTGGCAATCACTGATGAGAACTACATTTTTCATCCCCCCCCCATAACCTCATTTAATGGGAAAAAAGTTATTTATTAATATTATTTGAAATTTCACAATCAATAAAATACCATGTTTTTTAACAATATAAAATACCATGTCTTTTTTTTTTTTTTGGTACCAGGAATTGAACTTGGATCCTTGTGCTTGCAGGGTAGGCAGTGATACCACTGAGCTAAATCCCCGGCCCTCATATATTTTAATAATATAAAATAGATGAAATATTTTTATTTTTACGAACACTACAAGCAGGCTGTGGTGGTGCAAGAGGCCACTGTGAGATGTGTCAAAGCCCGGGTGTCTGAGGACATGTGAGGGCACCTGAGGACACAACCCCGTTGTTTAGCGCTGGCACATGATGGGGCTTTGTTATAATAATAATGAATCAGCACTGACGACCACACATGATCTCATGGCCATGCATGGCCGCGAGGCTGTTTTGTATTACTGCAACTCAGAAAAGGTGATAAAGAACACAATGCTCTCGAGCTCTAGAGCTGCAGCTCCAACTCTCATACTCTGATGCTAGAAATTAAAAAAAAAAGGTTGGTTCCTACTTTTTTATGATATCTGCTCCACGCCTGTTCTTTTCTTTAAGCATTTAGCTTGATGCCCAACAGGTTGCATGCACCTATAATCCCAGCACTCAACTGAGGCAGGAGGACTGCCACGAGTTCGACTCCAACCTAGGCTACATAGCAAGACCCTGTCTCCAAAAACCCAAAATAGGGGAAAAAAGGACTGAGATGTATAATGGATGTTGGGAAACGAGTGTTCAAATGGGAAGGGGAACAAGGGAGGAGGGAGGGAGAAAAGAAAGGACAAGAAAAAAGTGAAAATAGAAAATGCAAACAAAGCTTCTGTACATAGGGATGGGAGGGAGGTTGAGGGGGGAATGGGATAACATAAAATAAAATTTAATTTTAAAAACCCCAAGATAAATAATAAGTGACAAATGTTGTAACACACACAAGCACTGTATGCTGTCTGGGCGAGAGTGTGCTCAGACTGAAGCCTCACCCCTTTATGCTGGAGGCAGGATGCGATGCAAGACTCACTCTGCCCTTACAGATTTTTACAAATCCGATTTCCCACTTGACTATTGAGCAAAGTTACGAACACCACATAGATTTTTTTTGAACTTCGCTTTCAAAGGGCGGAAAGTTTGAGCTTGGAACTGTTCAACAACTGAGGTATCACTATGGTTCATTAATTTTCATTTCGGTACAGTATCCCTATGTCATCTTATAATTAACTATTTTTGAAAAGATACTGAAAATGTTTTCAGTTTTCCAGTATTTCAAATAATGCCACAACAGACATTCTTACACTTGTCCCCTAATGCATATTGGCCACTTTTTTTTGGAGTCAGGGTCTTGCTTGTAGTGCAGGCTAGCCTTGAACTCTCACTATATAGAACAAGGGGACTCGTGGTGATCCTCCTGCCTTAGCTCCCCAAGTGTTGGGATTACAGGCGTCCACTGCAATGCGTGGCCCAGCCAGTTTCTTGAGCTTTTCTTAAAAAACTGATGAATTTGGACCAGGGATTTAGCTCAATGGTGCCACTGCCTGCCTCACAAGCACAAGGTCTTGAGTTCGATCGCCAGTACCAAAAAAAATGATTAATTTATCACATTTTTTTCATTTATCAGAAATGAACTGCTTTTATAAAATTAATTTTATTGGTACATTTTAGGTGTACAATATAATGACATTCATTATTGAAATTTGCACCTTTACAAAATCCATCTTGGTTCTTGTATTTTCCCCTTCCCCTGCCCTCCCTTCAACCCCGCCATCCCTATTTACAAAGACTTTCTTTCCATTTTTTCATTTTCTCATATTCCATTCCCTTCTGTTCTTTCCCCTACCCCTCCCAATTTGCCTTCCCCTTTGCTCCTTTTCTTCCCATTTTATATTATCTATTATACCATTTAGTCCTTATTTAGACTTTGTTTCTCACACTAAACTATTTGGTATTTACACATGTGTCCTATTTATTTCACTTAAAAGTATCGCCTCAATGTGCATCCATTTAGTTATAAATGTCTCTAATTTCTCATTTTTTATGGCTGAGTAGTACTCCATTTTATTTTTAAAAACACATTTTCTTTATCCAGTCTCCAGTTGATGGGCAACTGGGCTGCTCCCAAGTTTTAGCTATGATAAATTGTGCAGCTATGAACATAGGTGCACATATATCACTGTGGTATTTTAATTCTTTGGGGAAGACACCCAGCAGGGAAATAGCTGGGTCAAATGGGACTTCCAGCCCTAGTTCTTTGAGGTATCGCCATATGATTTCCACAGTGGTTGCACCAGTCTACACTCCCACCAGCAGTGGAGCAGGGTTCCTCTTTTCCCACACCCCTGCTAGCATTTGTTATTGATTTCATGACAGGAGCCATTCTTTCTGGGGTGAGATGGAATCTCAGCATGGTTTTCATTTCCATCTCTCGAATGACCAGTGATGTTGAACATTTTTTCATATGTTTACTTGCTATTTCTTCTCCTTCTTCTTTTTTGTACTGGGGATCGAACTTGGGTCCTTCTGCTTGCGAGGTAAGCAGCGGAACCACTAAGCTAAATCCCCGGCTCTCTACTTCATTTGACAAATGTCTGTTCATTTCAGATGCCCATTTTTGGACTGGGTCTTTAAATCTGGGAGGTCTAATTTTTAAAAATTCTTTATAGATTCTAAATAGTAGACTTTTGTCTGAGGAACAGCAAGTGAAAATTTTTTCCCACACTGTGGGTTGGCTCTTCACACTGCTGGTGGTTTCTCTTGCTGTGCAGAAGCTTTTTAATAAGAAGAGAACCTACTTGTTGACTGTGCTAGTTCATGAGCAACTGAGGTTTTGTTCAGAAAATCTTTTCCTACAACATCTTCAAGAGTTCTACCTAACCTCTGTTCCAGCCAGATCAGCGTTTCTGTTTTAATGTTTAGATCTTTAATCCATTTTGATATTAGTTTAGTGCATGGTGAGAGATATAGGTCTAGTTTTAATCTTTGGCAAGTTGAAACCCAATTTTTCCAGCACCATTTATTAAAGAGGATATCTTTCCTCCAGTGAGGGTATTTGGCTCCTTTGTTGAAGATGAGGTGCCTGAGTATGTCTGGAGTTGTTTCTGCATCTTCTAATCTGTTCCACTGGTCTTCAGGTCTGGTTCTTTGCTAATACCATGCTGTTTTTATCACAGTAGCTATGTAGTATAGTTTCAAGTTGGGGATTGTGATATCCTCTGCCATGTCTCTGTTGCCTAGAGTTGCTTTTGCTATTCTGGGTCTCTTCTTGTTCCAAATGAATTTTTGGACTGTTTTCTCAAGGTTAGTGAAGTATGC